TGTACTACAATATTGAAAATCAAACTTTACTTGTTTGAAAAATACACTAAAATATTGGTGTCACAGGAACTTTTGTTGTTGAGTATAGTATGCATGTTCGTGAGTGTGGAGTACGTGTTTACGTGTTTGTGTATGAGTGCGTGAGGTATTGTGTAAGTAATTTGGCGTGTGTGCGTGCGTGCGTGCGTGCGTGCGTGCGTGTGTCGTAGGCCATACCTGGGCGATTATTACACTTTATAGTTTGTGTACGTGTTTTAGTATGAAGTGTATACACACTATAATAAACATTACTCTCTCTCTCTCTCTCTCTCTCTCTCTCTCTCTGTCTCTCTCTCTCTCTCTCTCTCTCTCTCTCTCTCCGACCTCCTCACAAATTATTTTCGTCTGCTGTGTTGGTGCGCCGAGAGGCACATGGAAGCAGATTTCCTTTTATCTAAAAAGTTAACATTGTTGCACAAAGCGTGTAAGGAGATACTTATGTAGGATTTTTTTCCAAAGTTAACTGATTCTGCCTTCTAGCGATATCGCCAATTCAGCACATACTGCTGACAGACTTCAAAGCCAAATAAACTATGAGGGTGTTTTTGTGACAGGTAGGCACTTCATCTGGACAAGTCGGCGATAATGACCTCAAGGAATGGCTGCCCGCTGAGACTTTACAAAGCAAAGTGAGTTGGGGTAACGCCGCCTTGAACAATAATTGAGATCAGAAACACGCATGTTGTGGAAGTTTGCCATTTTGGTGAAACCGGTTTTATTATATTCCTGTTGAGCCCTCCTCGTCGTAAGGCCGCCTCCGTGGTCTTGTGGCAGAGCGTCCGCCCGGAGAGCGGAAGGACGGGGTTCGATCCCCGGCTAAGTCAGGGTTCGATCCCCGGCCAAGTCATACCAAAAGACGTTGAAAGGTGGTATTTGTTGCTACCCTGCCTGGCACTCGACATCAAGGGGATAAAACAAGGACTTGTCGGCTCGGGGTCAGTATACTGTGTCTGAGTGGGGTATTCATGTTAAACTGCGGCATGGTATATCAGTGGGCTAGCACTATAAATCGGCATCAGTCCGGACTAGTACAAGCAGCCACACACTCTCGCTATATAAGAGGAATAATCTTGGACGCGACGTTAAGCCCCATTTCACCTCACCTCACCTCACCTCACCTCACCCGGCTCATCTCATCGTAATGTCAACGGTGGAGAGGCAGAGAAACCACGTGGTAACGCTTTCGTCACACCGCGTGGATCGGTTCAGATGCCAATATTGGTCAAATGTGTTTTGTACATTCTTGATGCCCTCTGTCGTGCTTTCGCTGGATGTTAACAGAATCGTAAAAAAAACTAGACTATTCACTAACTCCCCGAAACCAGCACGGGACACCATTAATCAGCACCCACTCTGTTTATTCCCTGAACAGTGTCAATAGCAACCTATTAATGCTTCATTAAACCTAAATATGGCAAATCGTCCCCAAAATAGACAGATGGAGGTTGCGACTGTCGTCAGCCTGGAGGAGCAGTTACAACGCCCCCTGTAGTCGGCTGACGTGGGCCCCGTGTCCCAGATCACGGCGGCTACTGGCTAATCAACCCATTGCAATTTAAGCCGAAAAAGGAAGAAATCGTCTCTGGGGAGAATGAGAGAATATTGCTGCGCTACTAATTAGTCTTCGTTGAGACTTGCTCCATCGTCAGTGAGAGATGTTTTTTCTTCCTCTGTTATTCAAGTGGAATATTCCATACAATATCATGATGGCTCCCTGGCCAACTTCCTGCGCCGCTCTCTGGTATTTGCAAAATCTATTATCCTTTGTGTAGCAGTATTGTACATTTCTGTACCGGCATCGTTGTATAATCCATGCTTGACATGTGGATTTCCCTCAAGGTTTCGCTGGACTGCATTTGGCATTTTGTCGCCAGTGGATGCTGTTGTAAAGATATTGCGTGGGATATTTTTTTAAATCATCTGCTGCAGCAGCCCACGTCGCAGGATGAGGTGCCCTCTTGCCGTTGTTTCAGTCGGTGCTGATGCAGCGTGTTGTAGCACTACCTCACTAACTCATCCCCCTCTGTCTGTGGAGGACGTAGCTATCGCGTGTTCTTTGTGTTTGTTCCCTTAAATAAATCCGTGTGTTTAGGATTATGTATTCCAAAGCTGGGATTTAGTTTTTAAAGAGACAACACACGTTGTTTTGCAGGGATTGAAAGATTAGCATGTTTCTGATGGCTGAAAGAAAAATCTCAAAATCTAATGGAATAGCAATGATCCGATTTTTTTTCTTTATAATTTGCAGATAGTCACATAGGTCAAACGCATTTATGCAAGCTATCACACTCAATTCATACCATATATACAGAGACAGCCTGGCTTCTTAAGAATGAGAGAGTGAATTCGCTTTAACGCCGTTTTTTTAAGCTCGGTGGGACGCAGGTCTAAGACGTTAAGCACTTTCAGTCGGAGTCTCAGAGGAACGCAATGTAAATGTCACGAGTTCGGAGGACGTTCTGTGATGTTGGACTATTATGTGGCAGATCGCCTCGCACCCGGGCCTTTTGACGTGGCTGTAACTCAATAAACTGCGTTATGTTGTGTGGGAGGGCACTGTAGCATATTTCCCTGAACGTGAAGAGAAGGGAATTGCCACATGGTAATCTGCGAGACGTCTGATTTAGCCTTATGGAATGACTACAATGTGAATTTGTTATGTATCACTTGTGTCCCTGGACCCAAAATGAGTAGATGGATTTTTAAAACTGCCTTCAATAATAAATTGAAACGTCTTGAGGTGAACTGTGACATGTACAGACTCTATTTTCAATACACACACACACACACACACACACACACACACACACGCACGTACATCCACATCTCGCATGCACACACAGAGGACTACTACTACTACTACTCATCCAACAATAGCGCATCCAACCAGGGCCCACTTGCACAAAGCGATCTTAGCGCTAAGATTATCGTAACTCCCATACTTTAACATAGGCTTACGATAGTCTTAGCGCTAAGATCGCTTTGTGCAAGTGGGCCCAGGTGGCAGTTGTCATCTACCCTTTTTCAGAATACATGTGTATTATTCCCTCTCCCCCCACCCACACCTTCAGTCTTAGTAGTGAGTGAGTATGGTTTTACGATGTTGGAAGGGGCTCACGAGGTCAATGAGGTAGGAGCCCCTAACCTATAATGGTCCTATAGGGTGTATTAATGGATCGATCAGGTGGACAGACTGGTGACTTAACTGATAGCCTTGTAAACATGCCAAGATGTTCATACATGCTCATAACATCAATCACAGGGTTTGTCTGGGTCAGATTCCAGCGCTTTCATACACCTCTAATAGTGCGGAGCGCAGGGTTAATTAACAAAAAATTTAAAAGGATAACATCCAGTGTCGACACAGGAGCTAGGGTGTGTTGCTGAATGTCTCCACAACCATCCCCCGTCTCCAGACAGGAGTGAGTGAGTGAGTTGGGTTTTACGCCGCTTTTAACAGTATTCCAGTTATATCGCGGCGTGTCAGCTTAATGTGGGAGGAGAGCCCGAAGTGATGCAGGTCTCAGACGTTTACCACTTCGGTAAAACCCACGAGCACGGGTATGGTGCTGACAAACCTAGAAACATAATCGGGGCGAACCGGGATTCGAACCCACAATCATAGGTTTCTGGCGTGCCCAAGGGACGCAACTCTGCACACCGAATCGCGGCGCCTTAGACGACTGGGCCACCTGTGCCCCCTCTCCAGACAGGAAGAAGGCGAAACACGTTGATATTAGTCTCACATACAGAAAGCTTCAACTCCACCTTTTTTATTTGCCGTGTTAGGATGATCCTCTACCAACCACATCCAAAGTTTGACGTCGCCACAGGAACACCTAGCACAACATCCCAAAAACATGCCGGTTTTCAACCCTAGTTGAGTCTTTTGAGACTGAGAGATGGACAGTAATTCCAAAAGGCAGTTATTTTTTGTTAAAATGTAGTGATTTACAAAGACACTAACCCTAACAAAATATGTGTGTTAATATGATATCGATCAAAAATCTTTAAAAAATGTTTATATCCTGTGGTGTCAGCCAAAACAATGACTATCGTGTAAAGAAACAAAATATTCATGACTCTTGTTTCCAAATGGAATTCCTGGGGACATTTCTGAGATTAAAATGCACAAGTTCAAGCAGTGTTTTTGTACATTTGTTAAGGATTACAAATTAGTTATTTGAGCCTAAAGTAAAGACAGTGTAGTTTGATGCCATGAGTGGATACCTTACAAGGACATGAATACCAAGATGTTTCAACACCCTTGTGACACCTCCTACCACAGCCATGTAGATTATAAGTATGCTTCAAATACTCGACAAATCATCTCTCAAGAAGTGGGACGAGGCTTGGCAATATATTGGCAGCCCCAGCAAATCCATCTTCTTGAGGCAAGGGAGTTAACTGACAGTAAAAATCCAGTTTCCACCCTTGCCGAACCTAGGCTGGTATTGCATGGCTCAAGCTCAGCACCACCAGTGGCTATTAATAATTATGTCCCTTCTATGTCCCTCCTATTGACCAATCAGATTCCACCTCTCATTTCACTTGCATATGCTTCAAACAAAATGGTGGCACCCAGTCAAGATGATCTGATCGATAATCAAGATCTATAATGTAATAAAAACGGGTCTTTCGTCGCAAAGTGCATCACATCAATTGAGCACCTTGAATAAAAACATGGAAAGATTTCGTAAATATCTGTCGAAGCCAAGTTGACGGTACACATGCTTTGCAAATCCTGCATTCAACTGAAATCTTCAGAGTGGTTGCATTGTTGTTAAGGGACCAGATGTCCATTTTGTTACACAATTTTGATTGGACTATGCCTGGACTCGTTAGTCCAGCATAGTTTGGCACTGGTGTGGAAACACCTTTGCCTAGGAAGATGCAGCAAATATTAAAATGAATACAATAATTATACTCCTCTGACACTCACACAATAACAGTACACAGTGTCAGTATAGTAAGGCTGGGTTTATTAGCAAGTATAGGCAAGTATAGCATGTGATAGCATTATCACCCCTTAAATACATTAAATATACAGGATTTGACTAGTAACATGAATTTTGCATTTCTCCTCCGACAATATAATGACTATCCCGAAAATGGTTTTAGCCCTCTTCAAGACTACCCACATCACCTGCAGGGTGATAACTTCAATGGTTGGTTGGTTCCTTTCATGATTAGTGTCACACTCAGCAATATTCCAGCTGTATCACATGGCCTGTTATAAATCGAGTTTCGACCAGACAACCAACTGTAAAAGTCCAGCTTCAACATTTGCGGAACTATGGGTGGAATTTCTGGGCTCAATCATAGTGCCACCACTGGCTATTACCATTTATGTCCCTTCTATGTCCCTCCTATTGACCAATCAGATTCCACTTCACTTGCATTTCCTTCAAACAAAATGGTGGCACCCAGTGATGATGAACTGATCGATAATCAAGCTCTATATTGTAACACTTCGCAAAGTGCATCAGATCACGTGAGCACCTTGATTGAAAACATGAAAAGATTTGGAAAATTTCTGTTGAAGGCATGTTGACATTACACATGCCTTGCAAATACTGCAATCAACTGACAAGGAATTCACATGGAGTGAGTGAGTTGGTTTACCGCCACTTAAACAGTGTTCCTGTTACAACATTGAGTGAGTGAGTGAGTATGGTTTTACGCCGCTTTTAGCAATATTCCAGCAACATCACGGCGGGGGACACCAGAAATGGGCTTCAGACATTGTACCCATGTCGGGAATCGAACCCGGGTCTTCGGCGTGACGAGCGAACGCTTTAACCACCAGGCTACCCAACCGCCCCGTTACAACATGGAGGCTGAATGTGGGAGGAAAGAGTCCATATTGTGTTGTATAAGAAGGGAAGCAGTGAACCCACAAAGACTGACTGAATAAACAAAAGTACAAATCTGTTTCTCAATAGGTGAATGAATGAATACAGGTCGATCTTTTTTCATCCATCAAGTAAATAACGAAAAACACTGACTAGAAAGTTTGATTGAGAAACTGCAAATGATTAGAATCAACACTGAATCCTGTAAGTTAGATAAAACATTGTCTTAGGTTCTCGAATACCATAGTGATAAAACGTTTTTCCACTGGTGATCAATATGGTGATTGTCACTATATTACATCAAGGTATGCATGGCCAAGCAATCCCATTACAACCTGACACTATGATTTTAATAAATATGAAGTCAGTAGGATAGCGAGGATGAAAAATGATAATACATAACAAACGAATAACTGTTTTCCATGGTGATGATGGCTGCGGTGTTCATCTCACAGCCTGTGCTGCTCTGGGGTATGGCTTGATGAATTGCTTGATGATAAGTGAGTCAATCCAGCTGACTGGCAGGATAGTTTTCAAGTAGATTAAAATCTGAAAAGATATATTCATATACAATATTTGGCATTTGGTAAAACGAGATTTAAACCTATAACTATTGGTTTCTGGCAGGCCCAAGGGACACAACTCTGCACAGCAAACTCATCACAAGAATGGGTGCTGGGGACTTCTGACCTGGATCCATAGTGGGGATTAATTATATGTTACAAATCTCAGATTCAATTAATATGCCAATAAATTAGATAATCAAGTACATAAAAGAACAAAATTTTATTACTCTTTATCAAATAAGGTGTTTTTCTATGTTTTGTTAGTTTGTTTGATCGCTAAACGCTTCCCTCAGTAATATTCCAGCTATGTCTTATGTAATAGCAAGGAAATATGAAATAAGTCAACTGTTCAGACCTCGATTACTCCCAGCACACAATAATTAACAAGCACAAACATTAACGCCATTATGATTACTCATTATTGTTGATGTTGACACCTAAATAGGACATAAAACGTGTGTACATGTATCTATTATCTATGTTCCTTCGTGCTGGGTATCAATGATAGTGAATAAATTTCCATCTTGATGATAGAGTACTGTGTTACCTTAACTCTACTAACAAGTATATGAAAGGTTATTTTCAGTGTCATGTTATACCAAGCAAAGACAAGGGGACATAACCTAAAAGTGTTGTTGCTAAGGGAGGTAACTCTAGTGTGTTGGGGGATGTTGCAATTGTGAATACATTTTGAGTATGTGAGTGAGTGAGTGAGTGAGTGAGTGAGTGAGTGAGTGCGTGAGTAACATTATTCCAGTTATATCACAGCGTATCAGCTTAATGTGGGAGGAAAGCCTGAAGTGATGCAGGTCTCAGACGTTTACCACTTCGGTGAATCCCACGAGCACGGGTATTTGAGTATGTAACGGCAAAGCAGGATTAGGTTTCTACTGTATATCACTACCCATATAAAGTGAGATGAAATTGGGTTTAACGTCACGTCCAAGATAATTGCACTTATATAGCTATGTGCAAGCACGTGTGTGTTGGCTGCTTGTACTAGTCTGGACCGATGCCGATTTATAGTGCTAGCCCACTGAGATACCATGCCGCAGTTTAACATGAATACCCCACTCAGACACAGTATACTGACTCCGAGCCGAACAGTTCTTGTTTTAGCCCCTTAACGCCTAGCGCCAGACAGGGTAACAACAAGTACCATATCTTAACGTCTCTTGGTATGACGCGGTCGTGGATCGAACCCCAGACCTTCCGCTCTCTGGGCGGACACAAGACCACGGAGGCGGTCACTACCCATATAAACTAACATGGACATTGTGTAATGTTATTCATGGAAAAAACAACAGATGTGTTGCAGCATGTGGTCAATGAAAAACATCATCAAATATTTCATCACTTCAATCCCCTTTTACAACAAATATGAGGAGGTGGGGTTCCCTTAAGTAAACGTTAATGTTATAAAAAAACAACAGTGTTTCTAAATTCCGGGGCTTGGATCTAAATGTTAGAAGGATAAAACAGCCAGTCACAAACATAACAAAAGGTTGGCACCGAGAGTCTGTACTTCAAACTGGATATACCTCGATACTTACAACAAAATAGTCAAACCACTTGTTGCTGCCGCTGACTAGATATCTGGCAAGGGGCTTAACGTTACAGACCGAGTCCTCCAGGGCATCAATGACTGGCGCCAGGGTGGAGCATGTGGTGGAGGCGGACTGCGCAAAGGCATCATACTTGGCATCTAGGTATGCCTTGCCGTACGTCTCCTTCACATCACTGGAGGCCTTCTCCCACATCTCGTCATATTCATCTCGCATTCTTGTCAGCTGAAAGATACATCCACTTCATATCATTATGTTTTCTCCCTGGAGTATTTTCACAGATACATAATTAATTGATAGAAGTAGAAAAGGCCAAATTAATTATGCTTATGACCAAATTGTTTTACTTTTGTAAAAACAACCACTAACAAGAAATAAGCAGACCATTTACAACCAGTGACCAGTAACAAGCAGTAACCAGTAACAACCAGTAACCAGTGACAACCAGTAACCAACAGCGACCAGTAACAAGCAGTAACCAGTAATGAGCAGTAACCAGTAAAACCCAGTAACAACCAGTAACCAACAGCGACCAGTAACAAGCAGTGACCAGTAACAAGCAGTAACCAGTAACAACCAGTAACCAGACACAACCTGTAACCAGTAACAAGCAGTAACCAGACACAACCAGTGACCAGTATCAGCCTGTAACCAGTAACAACCAGTGACCAGTAACAACTAGTAACCAGTAACAACCAGTAACCAGTAACAAGCAGTTACCAGTAACAGCCAGTAACAACCAGTAACCAACAGTGACCAGTAACAAACAGTAACCACTTACAAGGAGTGACCAGTAACAAGCAGTAACCAGTAACCAGGAACAAGCAGTTACCAGTAACAAGCAGTACACAGTAACAAGCAGTAACCAACAGCGACCAGTAACAAGCAGTAACTACTAACAAGGAGTGACCAGTTACAAGCAGTAACCATGTACAATATTGAAGTTCTGATGGTAATAAATTACCCCCATCACCCCTAATTAAACTAAGTCTTATTTTATAAATGTTTTTTTGTCCACAGTAATTGAAACCATAACCTGGCACTCCAATAAACAACAATGAGGCTTTTTCTTAGTGTTCTAACCTTTAAACATCCAAGAATCACGACTCTGTTATGGCTATACAACTTACAGTAGGTTTGCTGAGCATGCCAGTTGCACCACCAAAGTTGCCAGGCTCAACGACCACAACCTTGACGCCAAACTGACTCATCTCTAGCCGCAAAACATCGGACAGTGATTCAAGTCCAAATTTGGTGACACCATAGACAGAGTTGTTGGGGGCGGCCAGCTGACCTTTGGCACTGCTCACATTTATAACACGACCTGGAAGAAAAACCAGTGTCAATGCAGGTAAAATACAAGTGTTCACACCAGACACAGTGTTCACATCACCTCGTGTTCACCCTATAGTGTTCAGATCAGACAGTGTTCAGATCAGAAAGTGTTCACATCAGTTTTCACCCCATAGTGTTCAGGTCAGTGTTCACCCCCACAGTGTTCCGATCAGACAGTGTTAACATCAGTGTTCACCCCATAGTGTTCAGATCAGTGTTCACATCAGTGTTCACCCCCAGTGTTCAGATCAGTGTTCACATCAGTGTTCACCCCCAGTGTTCAGATCAGACAGTGTTCACATCAGTGTTCACCCCCATAGTGTTCAGATCAGACAGTGTTCACCCCAATGTGTTCAGATAAGATACAGTGTTCACCCCATTGTGTTAAGATCAGACACAGTGTTCACCCCATTGTGCTCAAATCAGACAGTGTTCACATCAGTGTTTACCCCATACAGTGTTCCAATCAGACAGTGTTCACCCCAGAGTGTTCCGATCAGACAGTGTTCACATCAGTGTTTACCCCATACAGTGTTCCGATCAGACAGTGTTCACCCCATTGTGTTCACCACCTTGTGTTCAGATAAGAAAGTGTTTACCCCATATAGTGTTCCGATCAGACAGTGTTCACCCCATTGTGTTCAGATAAGAAAGTGTTAATCCCATAGTGTTCCGATCAGACAGTGTTCACATCAGTGTTTACCCCATATAGTGTTCCGATCAGACAGTGTTCACCCCATTGTGTTCAGATAAGAAAGTGTTAATCCCATAGTGTTCCGATCAGACAGTGTTCACATCAGTGTTTACCCCATATAGTGTTCCGATCAGACAGTGTTCACCCCATGGTGTTCACCCCATCGTGTTCAGATAATAGAATGTTAACCCCATAGTGTTTCGATCAGACACAGTGTTCACATCAGTGTTTACCCCATACAGTGTTGGGTTCAACGCAGCTTCCAACAGTATTCCAGTTACATCACAGCATCTCAGCTTAATGTGGGAGGAAAGCCTGAAGTGATGCAGGTCTCAGATGTTCACCACTTCGGTGAAACCTACGAGCACGGGTATGGTGCTGACAAACCTAGAAACATAATCAAGGCGAACCGGGATTCGAACCCACAATCATAGGTTTCTGGCGTGCCCAAGGGACGCAACTTTGCACAGTGAATCGCGGCGCCTTAGACGACGGGGCCACCTGTGCCCCCTCTTTCACAATAAGCAAGTTGAATCCCTGATTTGTGCGTCTATCCAGTCTTAGTTGAGTTAATATACATTGTGTTTTCTTCTCACCTTTAGCTCGTCTAATGAGAGGAAGAAATGCTTTGGTCATGCGAATAGCTCCGTAAAGATTGACTTCCATCACCTGCCGGAACATGTCCAGTGTGCAGAACTCAAAGTCACCCTCAAAGTTGATTCCAGCATTGTTTACCAGGGCCCACAGTCCTGGAAAAATAATCAATCTAGTTCTTAAGTAAGGATAAGATATATGGATGAACAACTTCTGTAATATTCTTTATTCGGTGTAGGTTCTTTGATGATATCACTTGCTTTATAAAGGAATCGAAATGTCACTCCTAATTGTAATAAAGAAGTTGTTCATCCATACATCTTATCCTTATCAAGTACTCCACCTTCTAAATGCCTCTCAAAGAAGTTAATCTAGTCCTTGGTACAGATCACTGACAGATACGGCATGGACAACTAGTATCTTAGTGTCGATCCACGAGTGAGTGAGGTCAGTCAACATGGTGAGGTGTTCTGTCACTGTTAGAAATTGTGCATCAACAATGGATTTCACAACTGGTAGAACTGTTCAAAGAATGGATACCCAACTATGTGGCTCGATCCCAAAAAATATGTGGCTCCCCCCAAACAACAATGTGGCTCCCCAAAACAACAATGTGACTCCCCCAAAACAACAATGTGACTCCCCCAAAACAACAATGTGGCTCCCCCAGAACAACTTTATGGTTCCCCAAAACAACAATGTGGCTCCCCAAAACAATTATGCGGCTCCCCCAAAACAACAATGTGGCTCAAAAAAAGAAAAATTTGTCAGTCCCTAACATTAGCTCATTATCAGCTAAATGTGTTATGGGCTGACCTCTCTCACTGGTCAGCTGATTGACCCTCTCCAGACAGCTCTCAACACTGTAGTCATTGGTCACATCCAGCTCAAACACATGAATCCGGCCGGAACCACTGGCCTTGAGTCTCTCAGCACCATCGCTCTTCTCCGACAGACAGCCAGCAAGCACCAGGAAGCCCATGCTGTCCAGTCTCCTTGCAATAGCATTGCCAAATCCTGGTGGGAATTCATAACAAAACAAAGACATCGTTACAGGGAGCAACATATCGGTTTTAAGAAATGAAATTTAATATTAGAAATTTACATAACACATTTAGAGAGGGAAATATGTGCTCATATCATTATCAGTATCTAGATAAATGGCAATATTCCATTGATTGATATTGTGAGCAACAATTAGAGTCAGAGTACGATGACATGCAATCAACCAAGTCATCGAGACTGACCATTAGGGCTGGGACGATACACAAACCGTGTATCACAATACCTTGGTCACGATCCGACACATATCACGATACTTGCATGTGCTCTTATCTGTGGTCTGTAAGCCATCTTTTTCATAGACAGGATGGCCAAATACCTGGCACACTAACGATTTACAGTTGGCAGTGACAAGTATGGCGCAATGGATGAAAATATTTCTGTTTTCACTTCTCATTTTCACTAATAATTAGTGTTTGGTGTAACATTAATTTAAGAATCGATAGTCTTTTACTCAGTGTGTGATGGTGATCAATACTTGTAACGAGAAGTAAAAAATCATGTTCCACTGATGCATCGGTGCATCGTCCCTCTACTACTGACCATCCACTCCATAAAGTGGCTTCTTACATCGAGGATCTATGACCAACCCACCTGAATCACAACCAGTTATGAGAACTGCCTGGCCTGTGATTTCAATGGTCTTTGTCAGCAACTTCTTGAAGATATAGCAGAAGCCGAAGACTCCAATAACGGTCAGGATAGTAAGACCGACCACCTTCTGGGCCACAATGAAGGGCAGGAAGGCAAGGACGAGGAGATAGAAGAGTTCAAACACCTGAAGGTGTACAAACTGCTTCAGCTTCATGCCGCCTCGAATAAATGTGGCAAATCTCGGTGGAGGCTGGTCGGATACTTGACACTTTGCTTTGGTGGCTGTGCAGACAAAAACTGAAGTATACATTTCTGGAAATTCATAAATACTGCTTACATTGCAACTATTTATATCTATTTGTATATCCTTTTTATCAGAATATGTACAGTCCATGATTGTACGCTTCAAACTGTATTTCAGTCATATCACTTGATGTGGCAGGAAAGTCCAAAGAGATGCATGTCTTAGATATAACAACTTAGGTGAAGCTCACATACATGAGTACGCTGACAGGCCTAGAATCATAATCTGGGATTTGAAACGATGATGATAACTATAGGTTGCTGGCATGCCAACTACACAGCAAATTGTGGCACTGTGGACCACTGTGTCACCCATGCTCCCTAAGAGATGAGTGAGTATGGTTTTACGCCCCTTTTAAGCAATATTCCAGCAATATCACGGCGGGGGACACCATAAATGGGCTTCATACATTGTATACCCATGTCGGGAATCGAACCCGGGTCTTCTGCGTGACAAGCGAACGCTTTCACCACAAGGCTACCCGACCCCGACCCCGACCCCACCCCCCTAAGAGATGAAAGAGTTGGTAAAAGTTTAACACTGCTTTTAGAAAAATTATGAAATGCAACACCAAATAACATTAACTTAAATGAGATTTACAGAAATATGTGCATGGGGAGTGTTGATGGGATGTTTGATATTTTAAAAAAAGGACATTTAATGTTACAATTTCAGATATGATCAACAATTATGACTGATAAAACAAGGTGAGAAAAGCTGTGGCATATGTGTCAACGATACAATGAGAACTTCCAAAGTGATGATGAAGAGGAAAGGAAACGTACACACAAGATGTCGAAAGGGTCTGTGTATCTCCAGTTGGTGCAGTCGGAACATTAATCAGTCCTGTAATCAGTTTCACCTTTCTCCGACTGCTGACGTGTTTTCTGGCAGGTACCCAACCATCTGAGAGAGCGAACTGATAAACAAAAGGAGGAATGTCGGTTAATAAACTAGATTTCATACTATCATAGATATAGCCTATTACTATTAGCTGTCATGCATTGACTGATACATTCCCGATCTTTCCGGTGTCAAATTATTTAGCCGTTAAGCAAACTGTGTACTGAATTGGCATCATAAATACCCTTCGTTGTGAATGTATGTGTCATCCATACATGTTATCAGGTGCAAAAGATCATAGATCACTCGCAATCACTTAATCGAGGTCGTCGATCTTGATCTTTGTGTTGACAAGTGTCCGGTGGGGACAAAGTTCCGTCTTTGTAGCATTTAGAGCGCACAAACATATGCGTCGTGTAATAAGAAGACTGGTCAAGAGTAGGTAACTCTACGACGACTAAGGTTCACATACATGTATGATCGCGTTCAACAACATCATGATTCGTATCGTTGTGGGATCGATGATTGACGTCACTGAATAATGTGTGATATATATATTTTTAATATATTGACGATATTTATCGAGTGACCTGGCGATATTGATGTCAACATTTTCAGGTCACGAGATGGGATAATTTATTTAAGAAATAAACGACGAGTGGGAGTTGTTTATCGTATCACGTGCCCCTATTTGAAGGTTTCCATGTTTATTGTATTTAAATAATGATGACGTTGAGAGCGCATGTTCGAATCTCAAGAATCGACGTCATGATAGAACAATGTTTTTTCGTGAAATAAACCACGCTTCGTTCTTCATTGTCCTTTGTGATTTATGGCGCAGTTGTCTTATATTTAAGAAATAAACGACGAGTGGGAGTTGTTTATCGTACAATAAATCACTGCAGGGAGAATAAACCATGAGGGGCGCAGCCTCTATCCTCCCTGTAGTTTTTTTATTGTACGATAAACAACGACCACGAGTCGTTTATTTCTTATGTGAAATATCAATATTATGTACAGCTTCTTTAAGGATGTTAATAAAATGTACAAGCTTTAAAATTTTTTACCCGTATTTAAATATTGTTGACACCCTCAAAAGAATCCGACCTCGGAGGGTCTATTTAGAGGGCTTTCGGGACTCGATTTTGTGATACCAGAGACCATATCTATTATATGGTCTCTGGTGATACGCAGGATTCGGGGTCTATTTTAGAGGGTATTCGGGACGTGGTACGCTGGATTCGGAGGGGGGTGGGGTGAGGGTCTAGTTAGAGGGCATTCGGGACTCGATTGTATGATACGCAGGATTAAGGGTCTATTTTAGAGGGTATTCGGGACGTGGTACGCTGGATTCGGACGGTCTGTTTAGAGGGTATTTGGGACTCGGCAGTGTGGTACGTGGGACTCGGGCTTTATTTGAAGGGTATTCGGCATTCGCGCGCGCTCACACACACGCTTTATTGAAACAACAATCAATACAATTAATAAACCACGACATCATAATAAACGTATCTGCATGACTACATTTATTATTAATATCATTTTTGAGGGTTTTTCATGGTAACAATTCTTAATTCGTTTTAATTATAAGTCTCGACGGTAACAGAACGTGCGCGCACGCCCCCGCGTGTGTGTTTGAGGGGTTGGGGGGTGTACCATGAAATAATTAGAGGATAAACCTGCATGTTTTCAATAATTCTCAATTCGGCTTAAATTATTGGTGTAATGTAAAACAGGACATGAGTTTGTACCCAAACTGCGAAATCTATTAGGGACTGGACATGCTCACATGGGGGGTTTCGGGTGAAATATAATCTAGGGTTCGCCATAATTTAGTTCGTGGTCAACAGTCAATAACAACAACACACCAGCGTCAAATACTCGGTCAACCTATCACGTTATAAAGCGCGCCAAGCGGTGTTTTGCGCGTCAAAATTCCCGCCCTATAAATAGTACAGTCACGTGGTTGAAGGAAATCCTGAAGTTATTTTTAGAAATACTCACATCGAAACGAGGTTCAGAAGACTTCCTGTTACATTGGTTTGACTATCACATATAAGTATTGTGGTAAGTTTCCAGCGATCTTTGCTCTGTGATGTATTAGTTTGCGGTATTGAGTATATGAAGTAAGTTCTCGAGTAGCAAAATAAGTGAAATAATTGTGTTTATTGTGATGTAAACTCAAGGATAAGATTCATTTGTCTGTCATGTCAGTCACAGTGATGGCTCCAGTTTCTGAGACTATCTCATCGATGTATGCGTTTCAGGAAGTATAGATCTATATATGATGAAAATATACAAACAGATCAGTATACGAATTAACATAAACATTCCACCAGCACTGTCACACGGGAAAATCTCAGTCGGACTGAAGATTATAGACCTACTGTCCACTCTATCTCGGAAACTGCATCAGTGAACGTCTATCTCTTTTGGATATCGAAAGGTAATTTTTAGATGGTTATTTAGATGTATAAGCACACTTTCCTGATGGCCAGAACATTAAAATACTGAATGATTTAGAGCTGAAATGCAACCAATGACAGATCACTATGTGGTCAGTCCCATAAAACTGTTACAACAGCACAAGTAACTGTGTACCATATCAACTGTTAAAACACCCGAGAAAGTTTGTTTGTTTGTTGTTTAACGCCACGCTCAGCAATATTCCAGCTATATGACAGCGGTTTCTAAATAATCGAGTCTGGACCAGACAATCCAGTGATTGATTTCATGAGCATCGATCCACACAATTGGGATACTATGACTTTCATCAACCAAGTCAGTGAGCTTCACCCACCCCATCCTGTTAGTCACCTCTTATGACAAGCACATTCGCCTTTTACGGCAAGCATGGATTACTAAAGATCCCGGATCTTCAAGGTGGTAGGCCTAGAACAAGAACTCTACTTTTGACATGTTCAACAATGAAGTAACTGATTGCTGTGTGCTTGTTTATTGAAAAACACTTGAGTTGTAACAGAGCCAAGTTATTTGTCAATTTGCTCTTTCAAAAAGTAGGTATGTCATTGATAAATAAGTTTTAGTATCATGATATATCGTGATTCTTAAATGTATGTCTATTCAAATTCAAATGTATATTGCACGATTCTTCTGATTGCACAAAATGTCAGATTGAACAGACGTATGTTTAAACTAAATATTTCATTAAATCTTTATCTCAGACGTATTTGTAATTGTTCTTGATGTCTCTGATGTGATCTTCTATCGCTTGCCACAATCCAATGGTTTCTGTCTAAGGGAGCCTGCTTCTTAATCATCTTACCACTGTAAGACAGTTGGTTGTGTCAGAGTTTACAGACAATTATTTACTTGTCTGCTTTGCCATTATAACTTTGAAACCCAATAGGACCCAAAACTAAACCTTCCCCCCCCCCCCCCCCCCCCCACGCACAAGACAAAGATGGGGTTGGGGGGTGTCAAGGGAAACAGAAGTGATAGGTCACATTTTGAATGCAAAGTGCAATAAAAACATCATTGTTTTGGATAACAGTAAACTACGGTTATAACGAACTCAAAGGGACCACTAATTTTAGTTCGTTATAACCGTACTTCGTTATAGGCATATATACAGCATAACTACATCAAATTTTAGGGACAAAAAAGTAAGTTTGTTATATCCGTCAGTTCGTTATAAGTGTGTTCGTTATAACCGTAGTTTACTGTATTATCATTTGTAGAGACTATTTTGATAGATGATAATGGAATACTCTCGTCACTTATACCACAAATCTTTTGAAAACCACATGTCAGATTGAAAACAGAAATGATAGGTCAAAACATGTTACCACATTTTGGAATGCAAAGTGCAATAAAAACGTCATTGTTTTGGATTATTATCATTTGTAGAAACTATTTTGATAGGCGATAAAGGAATCCTCTCGTCACTTATACCACAAATCTTTTGAAAACCACAATAAAAATAAGAGATTTATATGTACCATAAATAGAAGTGATAGGTCAAAACATGTTACCACATTTTGGAATGCAAAGTGCAATAAAAACGTCATTGTTTTGGATTATTATCATTTGTAGAAACTCTTTTGATAGGCGATAAAGGAATCCTCTCGTCACTTATACCACAAATCTTTTGAAAACCACAATAAAAATAAGAGATTCATATGTACTATAAATACATTTACACCCTTGCTAAAGGATACCGTGAATGCTTATGGTAATTCCACAAGGAAATCAAGTGTGTTGTATGCTCTACACAAAGTATATTAGTCGTGTTATGTTATTATTGTCAAGCCTGTAGACTTTCTGTAGTAGTGGTTTACGATTATTAATTTGTATCGATACAGCATCAACATTAAACATTTACCGATACAACAATGTCACGATGTACAAAAAAAAGTTCCTTGTCCTTTCTCATCCTTCATGCGCATGTCTCAGTGGTAAGGCTTTTATTTTTTAGTTGTTTTTTTTAGACTGACCAACATAAAAAAACTTAAATTAAAATATATATAAAAAGACTTATGACAATTTTTGGCTGAATTGGAACAAATATGAGATTTTATCGCCGCTGTTTGTAAGAAATGGTGAATGATACGTATAAACATCTTTATTCTAACAAACATCCCAATCAGTTATGTTCCGGTATATTGCCATGGTTATGAAATTAAAACTTGTTTGTTTATCTTTCATTAATCATGTTAGTAGCAGTGTAAATCTGGAAGTTGAAAAATATTTTATTTTAGTTTTTCTTTACCACTACATTTAATTTCAGACCAAAATATTTGAAAACTAATTAGTAAAAAAATAAAAGGCCTGAGTTTGTTATGTGATTAAAGATGATGTGTATGACAGTTTGTCATGGTAACAAATGGGAGCCATACAACCATCATTGTGAATTGTTTGATAGGCATTACCGTATTCGACGTAATAAGCGCCCGGGGCACTCTCAAAATTAGAAAAAGGGGGCTGTTATTTGAATATAATTTTGGTGAGAAAAAAGACAGAGTTGAAAGATCGTAAATGTCGTGGTTTATGCTGACAGCCTGAAATGATACAAAAGAAAAGTATCATACATGACACACATATTTTCCAGAATTTAATTGCCCTTATATAAAAAAACAACACATGAGTGCGAATAAATAAGTCTTGTGTACACTGATCAATCGGAAGGGGTGCTTATTGGGATTATTCACTATCCAATATATTAGCAAATATCGAAATGGGCGCTTATTAGAGCGGGGCACTTATTACGTCGAATACGGTTGGCAGTTGGCAGATGACAAAGTAGACCCAATTTATGGATAACAACCTTCGGTGTAGATCCTTATACCATTGTCAAGCAGGACAACAGTATAAGCATCTACACCGAAACGTCGCTTTTTACAGTATTAAAGAAGTTGTTATCCATAAATTATGTCCAGTTTGTCAACCATCATTGTGTAGGATAGAATAGTGGGGGAAAATCAGTGAGATGAACAGATTATTTGGCAAATCTTTAGAGCCTTACTCATATTGGTTACCATGGTTACTGGACATGGAATAAATGTTAAACTGTCTTAACATGCCAAGCAAGGAAGTGTTGTGAGGCTAGTAAGTTTCTGTAAGGAAATGATGGATGTGTTAGATTCCATGTATACATGTAGGCAAGCATTGTTATCATTGCAATGGGAAACTGTGTGATATGGGTGATAGCAATATTAATCTGGAAGTTGAAAAATATTTTATTTGAGTTTTTCTTTACCGCCTACATATAATATGGGTGATAGAGATTCTCACCCTAGTGTCTTTTGACATTTTATTTATCATCCCAAACGTGTTTGTTTATCATTTATTAAACATGTTTGTAGCAATATTAATCTGGAAGTTGAAAAATATTTTATTTGAGTTTTTCTTTACCGCCTACATATAATATGGGTGATAGAGATTCTCACCCTAGTGTCTTTTGATGTCATATATATTGTTAATATATGTTTCATATCAAACGAGGGGGGCACGGGTGGCCCAGTTGTCTGAGGCGCCGCGATTCGCTGTGCAGAGTTGCGTCCCTTGGACACGCCAGAAACCTATGATTGTGGGTTCGAATCCCGGTTCGCCCCGAATTATGTTTCTAGGTTTGTCAGCACCATACCTGTGCTCGTGGGTTTCACCGAAGTGGTAAACGTCTGAGACCTGCATCACTTCGGGCTTTCCTCCCACATTAAGCTGACACGCCGTGATATAACTGGAATACTATTAAAATCGGCGTTAAACCCAACTCACTCACTCACTCATATCAAATGATTCTATTTATCATCCAAATAATTCTTCCAATCTTTCAGCTTGTGATCATAGATAAGCAGTGTTTTGAGTGTAAAAGGTTCAGCTAACCAGCTTAAGTGGGCGTCAGTAGCCAATGACATCATAGTGGTCTGCAAATTATTGTGATGCAGTTTAATTGTGGTTATATCATCCAGGAGATCAAATCTAAGCAATCATACGGAAGTTAGTTTTTGAAGACCATAAGGCTGCTTGTCCAATAGCACAAGGTGTTTGGGTGTATATTACAGATGTCACATGGTGACATGTATTTCAGGTGTATATTACGTATTTATTACATATGTCACATGGTGGCATGTATTTCAGATGTATATTACGTATATCACATGGTGGCATGTATTTCAGATGTATATTATATATGTCACATGGTGGCATGTATTTCAGGTATATATTACAGATGTCACATGGTGGCATGTACTTCAGATGTATATTATGTATGTCACATGGTGGCATGTATTTCAGATGTATATTACGTATGTCACATGGTAGCATGTATTTCAGGTGTTTATCACATGAATCACATGGTGGCATGTATTTCAGGTGTTTATCAAATATGTCACATGGTGGCATGTATTTCAGGTGTATATTACATATATCACATGGTGGCATGTATTTCAGGTGTATATTACAGATGTCACATGGTGGCATTATTTCAGGTGTATATTACATATATCACATGGTGGCATGTATTTCAGGTGTTTATTACCTATGTCACATGGTGGCATGTATTTCAGGTGTTTATCAAATGCGTCTCATGGTGGCATGTATTTCAGTTGTTTATCAAATATGTCACACGGCATGTATTTCAGGTGTTTATCACATATATCTCAAAGTGGCATGTATTTCAGGTGTTTATGACATATATCACATGGTGGCATGTATTTCAGGTGTTTATGACATAAATCACATGGTGGCATGTATTTCAGGTGTTTATCACATACATCACATGGTGGCATGTATTTTAGGTGTTTATCACATACATCACATGGTGGCATGTAATTTAGGTGTAAATTTGATATACCACATGGTGGCATGTATTTCAGGTGTTTATCACATATATCACATGGTGGCATGTAATTTAGGTGTAAATTTGATATATCACATGGTGGCATGTATTTCAGGTGTATATCACATATATCACATTGTGGCATGTATTTCAGGTGTATATTGCATATATCACGTGGTGGCATGTATTTCAGGTGTATATTACATATATCACATGGTGGCATGTATTTCAGGTGTATATTACATATATCACATGGTGGCATGTATTTCAGGTGTATATTACATATATCACATGGTGGCATGTATTTCAGGTGTATATTACATATATCACATGGTGGCATGTATTTCAGGTGTATATTACATATATCACATGGTGGCATGTATTTCAGGTGTATATCACATATATCACATGGTGGCATGTATTTCAGGCGTATGTTGCATATATCACATGGTGGCATGTATTTCAGGCGTATGTTGCATATATCACATGGTGGCATGTATTTCAGGTGTATATCACATATATCACATGGTGGCATGTATTTCAGGTGGTGAAGTGTCCCTGGAATGACACAGCCAGTAAAGAAGGGAAACTGGAGGGAAGTTAAGACACTTGGATCCGGTGGTTTTGGGACGGTGGTGCTATGGGAAAATGATGTGAGTACATTGTATTCAACTGGTTTTTAGCTCACCATGTCATCAGCATGATCAGTGTGAACCTGTGTTACGGTTTATTATCTGATGTCCTCCTGACTGTCAGTTACTGAAATATGAAATTCTTCTCCTAATTTACTGAACATAATATCGAATAGTTTCCAGATCATAACACCATGCCACGGACTAGGCAACACAAACATTATACAATTGGGTTTACTCGGTGTTAGAAATTGGCACAAGTCTTGTAGTCCTTGCCAAATTCCCAATAGTTAAGGTCTCAGAAGGACTATTTTTGCTATTTTTAAGGGTTTTGCTATATGTTGTTATGATAAGGACTAGTAGACTAAAACATGGCAACGTAAGCAAGCCCTGATATGATATGGAAACAAACTTGGCTATTAATCTTAATATCTTTACCAGTATCTAAGAATCTCACCTTTAATAGGGGCAGTCAGGTAGCCTAGTGGTTAAAGCGTTCGCTTGTCGCGTCGAAGACCCGGGTTCGATTTCCGACATGGGTACAATGTGTGAAGACCATTTCTGATGTCGTCCGCTGTGATATTGCTGGAATATTGCTAAAAGTGGCATAAAACCATACTCACTCACTCACTCACCTTTAATATCACCAGTGTGTGCTTATTTGACTACAGTTACTTCTCTGATATTTATGGATAACTGATCGATAATAATCTATATCGATAGCCAGCCCAAGGTGTCTGCACATAAAGTCTGTCTGGTCAGCTGCCTGCTGGTGCTTGTTGTCCAGGCTTGGCCTGTGATTAGTTCTGCTACTGTTAGGGCCGGCTAAAAAGATTGATAATCGGAATTATCGTCAATTGGAAGAAATATTAACGATTATCTATATGAAATTGTTGTCATCGATAATAACTTACATCAACTATTGTGATGAAATAAACATTGGATTTACTGATACAGACTTGTTATTTTCAATAATGTCAAACGTCAAAGATGGAATGCAACTGTTTTTGTTATATCTCAAATGTTTTCAAAGTAATCTGTGCATAAGTGTGTCACGGCTCACCAGTGATATGAAATATGTGGATACACCATGCACATGTTAGCTGTATGAGGAGGTATTCATGTATTATTAATCCATATTTTATGCTGTACCTAGGTCTTGAACCGCCTTGCCTTTGTACTCCAGATATCTGCGTGAAATACGCATCAGAAATGCAGAAATACGCAGTAAAATATAATCCAAGCGTATCAAACATGCAACGAACATTACAGATACGCTACAAAAATAAAACTTGTGCGTATCATCAAAATATTGTGAAAAGTAACCTCTGTATTCAATTAGCAAATCAGCAACTTATTTTGAAATTATAAACGGGCATTCCGTCAACCTTGCCAAACTCCACGATGACAGTTACATCATGATCAATTGCCATCACACTTTCTTGTGGAAGTATCGTGGTATGTTTTAGTCCTATAAAGCTCTCGAACCCACACGACACCAGTTTGCAGGGACTAGATGAATAGTGTTTTTAAATATTTAACTTAAATACCCACATGTGTAAAAACTAGTGGGTAACAGAAATTTGAATACGCAGATAGAATTACTGATACCCAATGATTTTAAAATGCATGGGTAAAATACCCACAACACCAAAAGCTTAACTGGAGCTCTGGCATATCTTATGTGGGGTGTTTCACATGAAGTATCATTTATGACAATCTATGGTGCAAAGTTTGCCAAAGTTTTGTATTGCCTTGCATCAGCATCCGACTGTCAGGAAACTAGTATGCAGTTCGTGTAGTTTTGTTCAATAAATATTATTGCGCCCGACCCAGAGTTTTTAAGCATCTATTTTAAAATAGCCACCATTAAATTTAGATATTAAACAGTCATCACAATCTGTCAATTTACAATGGCCTAGTACCACAAAGGTCAGTTCTCCTTATACATATTTATATATATTCTTATTTACATGCTTTCGTGGCCTTCATTTGTAGATAATAATAATTTAAGTTTGTCTCAATTTAATTTCTTTTTAAAAAGGACAAAATAATTACTGAGTCTTGATGTGGCATGAGATTTGTATCTATATACGTTTTTAGATTTAAAATCAGGATCGATCAATCATATTGTCATTTAATAATGGATACGTACACACACAAAGTTTTGTTTTTTTTACCCATGTATCCTTTTGCCTTGTAGGATACATAGGCAATAATAATAAAAAGATTCACAATCTACCCATATCACCCTCAGATAAACGCAAACAGATATTGTTTGATGTATGGACGTAACTTTAACATATACTGAACAACAAAAGTTCCTGTGACACCAATACGAAGATGTGTTGCTTGCATCCCAACCAGAGGTGGACACACACACTATTGATTTGTAAATTGACATTTTGGGATGTTCATGGTTTTTTTATGAAATCACTTTTTCTGAAGTCAGTATGGCAAATTAAACAATTTGAATACTTACAGGAGTCTTTTATCTGTTGCAAACCGAAATTGTTTTAGATTTGGTAAAAAACATAACTTTGCATTAAATCTTATTCAATATCACAGGAACTTTTGTTGTTCAGTATAGTATATAAAAATAGGATGCTGATTGTTTTACTTTCATTACCAGGAGAATGGGGAACAAATCGCCTTGAAGCGATGCCGGGTGCAGAACGAAATGTCGCCCAAACATCGGCAGCGATGGAAGATGGAGGTAGACATCATGAAGCGACTGTGTCACGATAACGTGATTGCTGCCCGGGAGGTCCCTCCACGACTTGATGTCACTGGCGATGAGGTCCCCCTGCTGGCCATGGAATACTGTGCTGGGGGAGACCTGAGACGGGTAGGTTACTCTCTCAGCATTTCCAGTTTTGTAAAAAAATAATCTCACATTCTTGAAGTGTGTTCATTAATGTGAACCATATGTACTGTTTTTTGTTTGTTTGTTGTTTAACATCAACCTGTAAAAGGGCCTCCCTTCATAAACAAGCATACAAATTCCAATTGCCACCATGACAAAAACACAAGATGTGCAGTTAAGCAGTGAGCATCTTAAGGGAAGTAACTGAGTGCTATATTGGATGGCATTGTTTTTCAAGTATCAAGATTGTTTTGTTTGTGGTTTTTTTAAAATGGAAATAAAAACGAAACATGTGGCAGACTTTATGATGATGCGGGTGGTGCCTGAGAACCAAGACTATTATCTTTTTTAGCCTTATATGATAATCATGATAATATTCACTTTTATTTATGTTTTTCTGATATCTCTATTCCTTGTACATGATTCAATGTGTGTTGAGGGGCGGTCGGGTAGCCTAAAGAGTTTTCTCGTCACACTGAAGACCCGGATTCAATTCGCGACATGGGTACATTGTGTGAAGCCCATTTCTGGTGTTCCCCACCGGGATATTGCTGGAATATTGCAAAAAGCGTCATAAAACATTACTCACTCACTCCCTAATGTGTGTTGACTAAACTGAGAGGGACAAACTTCAATCCACAGGTGCTGAACAAACCTGAAAACTGTTGTGGGATGCGAGAGTACGACATTCGCTGCTTGGTGCGGGACATTGCGCTGGCTGTGGAGTATCTCCATGACAACCGGATCATCCACCGTGACCTGAAGCCTGAGAATATTGTACTGCAGCAAGTGGAGGAAAGGGTAGGAATCAAAACATACGGTCATTTCATTACTGTTTGTTTGGTAGATCTTTGGAATGTGATATTCCAAGAATCAGCCACATACGTGCATGGAACCAATTGTCCCTGTTGAGATTTCAGGGTAGATTGGTTTCCAGTTACTGATGCTGGTGTTGAGAACTGATTACAATGGATGACGTGGTCACATTCGCTGACTCGGCTACTTGCGACCCAGCGGCATGAATCTTTGCTCAGCTTTTAGTGACTGGTGTATCTGGTGTATCCAACCATCTTCCCAAGGCAAGGGCGTTAACTGTCTATAAAAGTCCAGTTTCCACCCTTGCCGGACTAGGCTGGAGTTTCATGGCTCGGTCGTAGCGCCACCAGTGTTGGGTCCCTTCTATGTCCCTCCTATTGATCAATCAGATTCCACCTCTCATATTACTTGCATTTGCGTCTAACAAAATGGCAGCGCCCAGTAAAAGACGATCAAATCGATAATCAAGATCTATGCTGTAACAAAACGTGTCTTACCTCGCAAAGTGCATCAAATCACTTTAGCACCTTGATTAAAAACATGAAAAGATTTGAAAAATATCTGTCAACGCCCAGTTGACATAGACATGCTCTGCACATCCTGCAGTCGACCAAAATCAATGTTGTTTACGAACCGGATATCTAGTTTGTTATGCAGCTTTGATTGGACGATGCAAAGAATTGTTAGTCCACCCAAAATGTAACTCCGGAATAACAGCCTAGTTTGGCATGGGTGGAAACTGGACTTTTACAGTCAATTAACACCCTTGCCTCAGGAAGATGCAGGCCACTATGCAATAACTGGGATATTGCTGACTGGCGTTAAACAACGCTGACTCTCTGGAAGCAAATAGTTCCCTGTTCTTCCATCCCCTGGGTACTGCACATGAAACCTGTACCGGCATTGGTAGACTGGGGAACTGTATGCTAATGTGATGCCGGAGCTGTCAGCCCATGTTGTCCTCGGTGTTTCAGACTGTGTACAAGCTCATAGACCTGGGCTACGCCAAGGAGCTGGACCAGGGAAGTGTGTGCACCTCATTCGTTGGAACTCTGCAGTACCTCGTGAGAACCTTTTTATTTCATCTTGCACAATTTTCAAAATGTTGAGACCCGTGAAGATCTGGGGTAGAATAGATCTTCAGGAACCCATGCTTGCCGATTATTTACAGACCGCAGTCATATAGCTGGAATATTGCTGAGTGCGGCGTTAAACAACAAACCAACCAATCAAATCAAAATGTTGAATTCTTGGTAATTCTTGGTGAGAGTGGCTTTACAGTGCTCCTTGTCATTTCTTACTTGTCAGGTGTCGGAACTAGAACTGACTCATACAAATATTTTGTCAAAGGTGACTCATGTAATGTGACTCATGTGATATTGGCCCCGTGAAGATCCGGGTTAGAATAGGTCTTCAGCAACCCATTCTTTCTATAAAAGCTAACTATGCTTGTGGTAAGAGGCGACTAACGGGATCGGGTGGTCAGGTTCACTGACCTGGTTGATGCATGTCATCGTATCCCAATTGCCTGGATCGATGCTCATGATGTCAATCACTGGATTGTCAGGTCCAAACTCGATTATTTACAGACCGCCGTCATATAGCTGGAATATTGCTGAGTGTAGCGTTAAACAACAAACAAACAAACAACATGTGATATTGGAACGGAAATCATGTCTTCCTGCTATGATCTTTGCTCATTCTATCAACCACTGGTTTGTCTGGTCCAAGGTTATCTACAGGCTGCAATTACTCAGCTGGAATACAGCTGAGTCAGCTATTAACCACAGAACATGATCACAGACATCTGTGACAGCTCCTACATGTAACAACCACTGCCAGTATCACCAAATTACACTCACTTGGGAAGTGGTACTGTAGCCCAGTGGTTAAAGTGTTTGCTCATCATGCTGAAGGCCCAGGTTTGATTCCCCACATGGGTGCAATGTGTGAACCTCATCTCTGCTGTACCCCACCGTGATATTGCTCACTCACTCACTCACTCACTCACTCACTCACTCACTCACTCACTCACTCACTCACTCACTCACTCACTCACTCACTCACTCACTCACTCACTCACCCACCCACCCACCCACCCACTCACTCACTCACTCACTCTCCTGGAAGCCTGCTCACTACAGCTAACACTTCAATGTGATTGTCTGAAAAGAGTTAACTTCTTTTATCCAGCTATTTACTACAGAATAATCTTGGCACAGGTCCTGAATAAGCAGAGAAATATGTTAAAATTGCCTTTCACATTTATTCATGAGGGGTAAAAATGGCTCAGTGGTATGTGCTGCATCCTGCTTTGGAAAGTTGCCTCCCTTAGTTGACCAGGATCTGCTGATAGTGGTTTCACAACTCAGATGCACCCCCTTGTACATGTTTTTGTCACTGCTTGTGTTAGTGCAGGTTTGCCCCCATGTTAAGTTCACATGCTGGGAGATTGTTCAAAACAGAAATAAATGCACTTCACTGACTCTGTGATTGTGTCTGCCCCAGGCCCCCGAGCTGTTTGCGTCCCAGAGATACACATGCACCGTGGACTACTGGTCATTTGGGACAGTTGTGTTTGAGTGTATTGTGGGATTCCGGCCTTTCCTGCCCACCGTGCCTCCAGTCAGATGGTGAGTAGACTCCAGAGGGCGCCACTTGGTTCTGTCATCTCGTATGCTTCCACAGTGTTGATCTAGACATCGTGATTAATGCCTTGCGTGAAATTAGATGCTAGCTTTATGTTATGGTTGTCCTTTTTTGCTTGATCCAATCAAGATCAACCTAAACTATGGAGGCACTAAACCATCTGGGGGTCTGTTACCAATCTCTTGCTCTCAACATCATTACTAGAACAGTGATGAACTAATAAAATAAATATCCAAACAACTATGAACACCTGGTTTGTTTTAGTTGCTAAAAACACACGACGTATGTTCCCCATATCTAATTAGGATCAGACTTCCAACTTCATCAATTTAACTTTAATTATTAAATAAACATTAACCTTGTTAGTAAGTTGTTACCCTTTCAGCTGTGAACTTTCGTGAATAGTTTTGAACATCAAGTGTGCCGCGTGTTGTCATTGGAATAAGTACTTAATCCAGAGCAACATCCGAAAGTTAAGAATTGCATAGTCATCACATACAGTCTGAAAGAAAGCAATTTGTAAGAGTTAAAATTAAAGTAAGAAGAAGTGAGTGATGAAATCACACTACTATATGCTGTGATAAATATTTGTGTCTGTTGTCATATACTTATCAATTTATCTAATAAATCCTGTGTTGTATCACTTCCATCGTGTTTCTCTACATTCTTTTGGTAAAGTTTACATTCTCCGGATTTTAATGCGATCAACCAATCATTACCTTCCTTTTTGCAAACAAATAGCCTACGAGTCATTTGATTGGCTATCAACCCCCATGCTGCTGCTCCAATGTTTGATAAGGTGTGTTGAAATTAGCATGAAATTGGTACCTCTATGGTGTTATATAACATTTGTTTTTATTATCCAACCCACATGTTATTTCATACAGTATAATAATTTGCAGTCTGAAATAGTGTTGAAGTGGCTTATTTGTCAAGAAAATCCTGATTAGTGGCATCGCTAAAAAAATGGCTGAATGTCCAGTCGTCGAGTTGATCTAAGTCAACAAGCAGTTAAAACATATTTTGTTTGATAGGCATTACTTAGAAGTTGACGGATGACAAGATAGACACAATTTTTATGGATAACAACTTCTTTAATACTGTAAAAAGCAACGTTTCGGTATTATACCGTTGTCAAGCAAGACTGAATGAGGGACATAGTGCAGAATATATATAGCAAGTGGAGGATTAACAGCAGAGGATTAACAGTAACAACAAGGGCATATATGAGTGGGATAACATAGGTAGGTGTGACAACAAAGGGATTATGCTTTCACAACACGATAGACAGAAAACACATAGCTAGAAGCCAATGGGGTTAAAATGAGTTAAAACATAATTTATGAATGTTTTATCAATAACAGGCTACATAAACTTGTACAAAAGATCGATCCTCTGAAGAAAAAAAAGAAGAATACCCTCATATATTTATTTTTCTCAGAAAACAAACGTCAATTTTTCTATCTTAACCATGCACATTTACACACATGTATCCTTGTTCTTGTTAGTTGAACTATCATCTGACCTACATTCCATAATTGGAATAACACGAGTGTCTGATAACGCGGGGGGATCTGCTGCGTTATCGTGGGGGATGACTGTACCTTGAAAGTTATTGAGACATTGTCCCAACACAGAAAGTTGATTACCAGTTAGCAGACAAGGTTTTAACATGATGCGAAAATATGCATCCAGTATACTCAAATGTATAAAGAATGGATGCAGATTGCATAGAATGGATTATTGCACCCTGAGGGATACCCAATTCTTTACAAGAAATATTACACTCCAGTACTTGAAATAGTATTACAGTACACTTCATTTCTTTCCAGAACCCTCATATTTCCTGTAGAAAAGAGTTACTGTATATCGTCGTCTATAAAGCGACCACACATATAAGGCGACCCCCCTGTACAAGCCTTCAAAATCAATGCTAATTCATGTACCCCGTCTATAAAGCCAATCAGAATGAAGCACGTCACCAGTGCATACTCAATGCCTACATTTGCAATAAAAATGTGTTCCACAGAAAATAATTACAACATATCCCTTCAGAGAATTCAAGGAAACAAACAGATCATAACAATTAAACTTGGTGAATACAAATTTGAGATAAAACATCTCTAGACATGATGATTTTAACAATTAAATTGTATTTCCTGTTCTGATAGGCATTGTTTTATAGGCAGAGATTAAGATTACCGTGTGTATTGTCTCGTAAACTAAGCAGGAAGCAACAATCAGCTGTGCACACGTTTCCGGAATCTACAGCTGATTAAAAATTATCCCTCTACTATAACTTTAAAGAATTTGGATACAATGATCGTATGCATTGTATCTGAAACTATTATTTTATCAGGATTAATTTATTCCAATATCATGTAAGTTTAGTTGCAGCTTCACTCTATACATTTAAAATAAATAAATAACTATACGCGTAGCACTTTAGTACAGCTGATGTTATGTGTTCTAAGATTGACTTGACAGGACTGCTGATGTTCGTGAATCTCATCCTTTTTGTAAAACATAGCATTTAGGACTGTTGTAGGGTTAGATTTACTAAAGGGTAAATGTATTGTGAACAAGATATCACCCAAGTGAGATTGACCAATCAGAGAGCAGAACTACTGACCCCACATGAGCCCGTATACGTCAATAAAAAACTAAGTTGGTTGTTTTGAGACCGTATACGGTCGGTAACAGCCATGTTCAGGATTTTCCAACACTCACTTCACATGTATCACATGAAAATTCTGGTACAGAAATTTGTTATTCAACACTGTTTTGTGTTTTTATATCAATAATTGTGATATACAGGGACATTAATGAATTTCAAATCACGGTCGTGACTTTATTGCTAAAGACACGGACGTATATACAAGTCTTTGCTAAAGATTATAGTTATAATTGTCAACATGGTTTGGCCTCTTAGGTTTGAAGAGTAGTCTCCCTTTGACCCTTAACGTTTGCGTACTGAGCTTAGAAAAGTAGTGCAAGATGGATACCACATAATGAAAATTTTTCAGCATAATAAATTCGTTATAATGGCTTTAGTTGCCGTATGCAGTGTCATATTAGGTTAGCAGAAAAATATTTTTCTGCTAACCTAATATGGCACCGTATATGGCAGCTAAAGACACTATAACATATAGTATATTTGGGACATATTTTGCGAATATTACTCGATAATTTGGGGTTCACTATGGGAATATTTCCAAATATGTTTGGGTAGATGTGTTGTGAATGTAGTTATATTACCCAATATGTGGGGGTAGATGTGTTGTGAATGTAGTTATATTACCCAATATGTTGGGGTAGATGTGTTGTGAATGTAGTTATATTACCCAATATGTGGGGTTAGATGTGTTGTGAAAGTGTGTGTCTGGCTGCAGGCACAAGGAGGTGTGCCAGAAGTCCCCAGAAGACATCTGTGCAGAGATGACTAACACAGGAGAGGTGAAGTTCCACAAGAGGCTTCCGGCTCCCAACCACCTTTCCAGGTTTGTAGTTTAGTTATGTGTGGAGAAGTAAACTCTTCACTAACAAATGAATGAATCTGTTTTATCTGTCAGTGCTGGTCAGGAATCTGTGACGTAGGGTCAGAACACTCTCCTACCCAGAGTTCCATGCGGCCGGCAGCTAGCCAGTATAGTACCTCTGCCACAGGCCAGCGCCATGTGACGCTTCATCACATCATTCATAGTCCATTCAAGATATTGCGTATGCTTTTCATCCGTTTCATTTTTGACAAGTTTTCACATTTTCATAAACAAATGTCAAAGAATGGTTACGGTTCATTAAGAAAGTATCATAAAACGTGAAAATCGACTTGTTTTTACTTAGTTATCCTTTGTTTACTTTGGTTGTGCGGCTGCACGTGCTGTCATTGAAGCCCAACGGAGAGTTAGCGATAAGGTTAATTTGATGTATAAATATATATTGTCACTGTCGCAGTTGTAGAAGTATATCTATATAATTATGCAAAACAATATGTAAAGCGCCCCCAAATACTTGCATTAGTCCTTTCTATACTGGTTTCTGAAAGATCGCGTTTGTTTACAAACAAGAGAAAAGTCCAGTCACATGATATGCAAATTAGCCTGTGGCAGTGGTGTTATGCTGAGTCACCACTGCACCAGAGTGTGGGGTCAGGAAGACGCTGATCCCTTCTGTTCCATATGGGAAAATAATTACATTTCTCTGCATAAAGATATGAGGCATAAAAACAATGGCAATCCTCAATGGGATGTCATCTCAGAATAATTCACCAGAAGAGATCATCAAAAGATGTCTCTACACATTACCAAGCTGATGCAATGCAATCACAGCCAGAAGCCAGTCTATATTATTAGTCAATTGGTGACATTCAAGATGGGGTGAAATTTGTTAACATTTGTGTCAAAAGTTTTCATATTTGTCAATGAATGAGGATGAATGTGTTCAAGATGTCAGATCTAAAACATTGTTCATCAGAAGATTACACTTTCCTCCAAGAATATGCAAATAACATAGGCTTTTGGACAACTCGCAAATCTGAATCTACTTGTCCATAGAGCATGTTTAGTTATCCAAATGTTTGATGTGAGATATTGTCTCCCTCAGGACAATGCGGGGCTACTTTGAGCAGTGGCTTAGGAAGATGTTGCGTTGGGACGCGAAGGCCAGGGGAGGGGGCCTCACGCCGGACAAGAGGCCCAAGTGTTTCAACATGCTGCAGCATGCGCTGGACTTGAAGGTCAGTGGACTGGTTGTGATATCAATAGGGATAAGGGACCACATCCTGTCTTTCTGTCATACATCCTGTCTTTCTGTCACAGATCCTGTCTTTCTGTCACACAACCTGTCTTTCTGTCACACAGCCTATCTTTCTGTCACAGATCCTGTCTTTCTGTCACACAGCCTATCTTTCTGTCACAGATCCTGTCTTTCTGTCACAGATCCTGTCTTTCTGTCACACATCCTGTCTTTCTGTCACACTTCCTGTCTTTCTGTCACAGATCCTGTCTTTCTGTCACACATCCTGTCTTTCTGTCACACTTCCTGTCTTTCTGTCACACTTCCTGTCTTTCTGTCACACATCCTGTCTTTCTGTCACACATCCTGTCTTTCTGTCACAGATCATGCACATCCTGTCTTTCTGTCACACATGCTGTCTTTCTGTCACAGATCATGCACATCCTGTCTTTCTGTCACAGATCATGCACATCCTGTCGTTCTGTCACAGATCATGCACATCCTGTCGTTCTGTCACAGATTGTGCACATCTTGTCTTTCTGTCACAGATTGTGCACATCCTGTACGTGGAGGCGAACCAGTTGATCACGTACCCTGTGCCGGAGGAGCACACGATGCAGAACCTGCAGCTGATCATCGAGCAGGAGACAAAGATCCCGGTGGCGGAGCAGGACATCCTCCTAGCAAGCGGCATTCCTCCGGACCCCAGCGCCCCGGCCTATCAGTGCTGGACAGAGCCGGTGAGTCACTCTACTGGCCAGCTTGTAGAAGTAACCAACCGGTGAGTCACTCTACTGGTCAGCTTGTAGAAGTAACCAATCAGTGAGTCACTCTACTGGCCAGCTTGTAGAAGTAACCAACTGGTGAGTCACTCTACTGGCCAGCTTGTAGAAGTAACCAGCCAATGAGTCACTCTACTGGTCAGCTTGTAGAAGTAACCAACCGGTGAGTCACTCAACTGGTCAGCATGTAGAAGTAACCAGCCAATGAGTCACTCTACTGGTCAGCATGTAGAAGTAACCAACCGGTGAGTTTCTCAACTGGCCAGCTTGTAGAAGTAACCAGCCAATGAGTCACTCTACTGGTCAGCATGTAGAAGTAACCAACCGGTGAGTCACTCTACTGATCAGCATGTAGAAGTAACCAGCCAATGAGTCACTCTACTGGTCAGCATGTAGAAGTAACCAACCGGTGAGTCACTCTACTGGTCAGCTTGTAGAAGTAACCAACCGGTGAGTCACTCAACTGGCCAGCTTGTAGAAGTAACCAACTGGTGAGTCACTCTACTGGCCAGCTTGTAGAAGTAACCAGCCAATGAGTCACTCTACTGGTCAGCTTGTAGAAGTAACCAACCGGTGAGTCACTCTACTGGTCAGCTTGTAGAAGTAACCAATCAGTGAGTCACTCTACTGGCCAGCTTGTAGAAGTAACCAACTGGTGAGTCACTCTACTGGCCAGCTTGTAGAAGTAACCAGCCAATGAGTCACTCTACTGGTCAGCTTGTAGAAGTAACCAACCGGTGAGTCACTCAACTGGTCAGCATGTAGAAGTAACCAGCCAATGAGTCACTCTACTGGTCAGCATGTAGAAGTAACCAACCGGTGAGTTTCTCAACTGGCCAGCTTGTAGAAGTAACCAGCCAATGAGTCACTCTACTGGTCAGCATGTAGAAGTAACCAACCGGTGAGTCACTCTACTGATCAGCATGTAGAAGTAACCAGCCAATGAGTCACTCTACTGGTCAGCATGTAGAAGTAACCAACCGGTGAGTCACTCTACTGGTCAGCTTGTAGAAGTAACCAACCGGTGAGTCACTCAACTGGCCAGCTTGTAGAAGTAACCAACCGGTGAGTCACTCAACTGGCCAGCTTGTAGAAGTAACCAACCGGTGAGTCACTCTACTGGTCAGCATGTAGAAGTAACCAACCGGTGAGTCACTCAACTGGCCAGCTTGTAGAAGTAACCAACCGGTGAGTCACTCAACTGGCCAGCTTGTAGAAGTAACCAATCAGTGAGTCACTCTACTGGTCAGCATGTAGAAGTAACCAACCGGTGAGTCACTCTACTGGTCAGCTTGTAGAAGTAACCAACCGGTGAGTCACTCTACTGGTCAGCATGTAGAAGTAACCAACCAGTGAGTTACTCTACTGGTCAGCATGTAGAAGTAACCAACCGGTGAGTCACTCTGCTGGTCAGCATGTAGAAGTAACCAACCAATGAGTCACTCTACTGGTCAGCATGTAGAAGTAACCAACCAATGAGTCACTCTACTGGTCAGCTTGAACTTACCAACCGGTGAGTCACTCTACTGGTCAGCTTGTAGAAGTTACCAACCGGTGAGTCACTCTCAACCTCCCTGTATAACTGAACACATCTCAATGCAGATAGTTTGCTAAGGTCAGGACATGTATTTATCAGTTTCATTAGCTGAATATTTATGTACAGTCTTTACTCTCTTATTAAATTAGGGGCGGTCGGGTAGCCTAGTGGTTAAAGCGTTCGCTCGTCACTCTGAAGACCCGGGTTCGATTCCCGACATGGGTACATTGTATGAAGCCCATTTCTGGTGTCCCCCGCCGTGATATTGCTGGAATATTGCTAAAAAGCGGTGTAAAACCATACTCACTCACTCACTCTTATTAAATTAATTTCAGAATGACGAGGAATGGATTGTATTTCTGTTCCGGAAAGGAAACTCCTCGCCCGGCCCCCGGAAGCAGAAGCAACTGCCTAGGATGGTTCAACTGATTGTGAAGGAACCCAGCACACTCCTCCCGGCACATGTGAGTCGGCAGATGCACCTACTCATCTGTGTCCCTTATCAGTGTCACTCAACCCGTGAAGATCCGGGGTAGAATAGGTCTTCAGCAACCCATGCTTGCCGTAAAAGGCCACTATGCTTGTCATAAGAGGCGACTAACGGGATTGGGTGGTCACACTCGCTGACTTTGTTGATGGATGTCATCGTATCCCAGCTGCATGGATCGATGCTCATAATGTCAATCTCTGGATTGTCAGGCCGTAAAATAGCTGGAATATTGCTGAGTGCTGCGTTAAACAACAAACAAACAAACACTTGTGTTACTCATCCCTGTTACTCATCCCTGTTACTCATCTCTGTTACTCATCAGTGTTACTCATCAGTGTTGGGGTGGTCGTGTAGCCTAGTGGTTAAAGCGTTCGCTCGTCACGCCGAAGACCCGGGTTCGATTCCCGACATGGGTAAAATGTGTGAAGCCCATTTCTGGTGTCCCCCACCGTGATATTGCTGGAATATTGCTAAAAGCGGCGTAAAACCATACTCACTCACTCACTCACTACTCATCAGTGTTACTCATCAGTGTTTCTCATCAGTGTTACTCATCAGTTTTTCTCATCAGTGTTTCTCATCAGTGTTACTCATCAGTGTTTTTCATCAGTGTTACTCATCAGTGTCACTCATCTCTGTTACTCATCAGTGTTACTCATCAGTGTTACTCATCTCTGTCACTTATCTCTGTTACTCATCAGTGTTACTCATCAGTGTTTCTCATCTCTGTTACTCATCAGTGTTTCTCATCAGTGTTACTCATCAGTGTTACTCATCTCTGTCACTCATCTCTGTTACTCATCAGTGTTTCTCATCGGTGTTACTCATCAGTGTTACTCATCTCTGTTTCTCATCTCTGTTACTCATCAGTGTTACTCACCGGTGTCACTCATCAGTGTTTCTCATCAGTGTTACTCATCTCTGTTTCTCATCAGTGTTTCTCATTTCTCATCGGTGTTACTCATCAGTGTTACTCATCTCTGTTTCTCATCTCTGTTACTCATCAGTGTTACTCATCAGTGTTTCTCATCGGTGTCACTCATCAGTGTTTCTCATCAGTGTTTCTCATCAGTGTTTCTCATCTCTGTTACTCATCAGTGTTACTCATCGGTGTTACTCATCAGTGTTTCTCATCAGTGTTTCTGATCAGTGTCACTCATCGGTGTCACTCATCAGTGTTTCTCATCAGTGTTTCTCATCAGTGTTACTCAGTGTTTCTCATCAGTGTTTCTCATCTCTGTTACTCATCAGTGTTACTCATCGGTGTTACTCATCAGTGTTTCTCATCAGTGTTACTCATCAGTGTTTCTCATCGTGTTTTCAATGATGAGAATGATATTGTCAAATTCAATTATTGGTATGGTGTTTCAATGATGGGCATGGTGTTTCAATGATGTTTATGGTGTTTCAATGGTGTTTTTGATGTTGTCAATGATGTTTATGGTGTTACAGGAACAGAGAAGGGCCTGGGCACATTCAGTCTACTTCTGCCATGAACAGAATCTGGACTTTAAGAGGTTGATACTAAGTCAGAGGGCGGCCATGTAAGTTGCAGTACATTGTATTACACCTGAAATCTGGTCAATGGTAATAATTGAAGATCTAGAGCAGGGAAATTAACTACTTTCTCAGCACTGGCCCTAATAATTGTCGTTTTCGGCACAAGTACCACAGGAATTTACCTCAGGTACAATTATTTACACCAATGTGTATCCAACAGATAGTTCTCTGTACTGAGTTATGACAATACCTTTAACATGGGAAGACTGATTCTATATGTTGAGTTTTAAGGATAGTTTATCATGGGAAGACCGATTCTATATATTGAGTTTTAAGGATACTTTTATCATGGGAAGACTGATTCTATATATTGAGTTTTAAGGATACTTTTATCATGGGAAGACTGATTCTCTGTTATTGATCTTGATGAATATTAAATGGTTTGAAAAGTGTCAAACTCAAGATTGAACTCAAGATTGAAAGTGTAAAGAAAACATCAGTGGTAGGACCCTGCTGGTCCTGGGTTCAAATCCCAGATTCGCCCTGATGATCATGCTTGGTTTGTCAGCTCCACCCTTGTTAGTAGTCAGGGAAATGGTATACATGTTTCACCTGGACCACTGATGGCGTTTTCTCTGCATTAATTTGACACAACGCGAAACCACAGAACTACAACTCACCAACTCAAGTCTATGGATGCTCTCCCCTTAATAGGGACAGAGCAAGCTCCTCACAGCAGTATCCCGTGTCGCGGAGCTCTCTATACTATCACTGCCACCAGTGAAAGCTCCACACTGTGATAGGTGGCTAAAACCATGCTTGGAGTTGAACTCGCAACCGACTGACCATTATGTATACAAACAAGTGATGCCTGTCGTGACGCCGAATACTCTTACCCCAGTTTAATTATTTTCTTTGTTTGTCAATTTGAATTTCTGTTTCATTGCATATATCATGTCATTGCAGTAGTAGGAATGTAAGGGTGAATTTGGTTGATTTTTTCATAATCTGCATTCTCGAACCAATCTGATCAAACAAACAAAAAGGTAACTTCATCGGGGAAATATGATCAGCCGTAAACCTTTTCAAAATTAACTGTTATGGCATTCCCAAAGACACAAACAAATGTATAAACGTTACTACATTTGGGATTAGAGGGTAATTGTTGTAATGGCCGCTGCTACACTGGTGGCAGCGATGTTACCGAGAGTGTAACGAAGATGTCACGTGCTGGGAAGGAGCTTGGGGACAGAGTCAAGCTTCTCACAGTGAAAGCCTGTTCTCGGACCTCTCAATGCTGTCTTCGCCACTGCCACAGCTTGCCTCTGTGCTAGGTGGCCACAACCATACATAGAGTCTAGTCGACTGCCTGTTATGTCTACAAACAAGGGATGACTGTCGTGACACTGAATACTCTTCCCCCAGCTAAATAATTTTGTTAGCTTGTCAATTTGTATTTCTATTTTTCTTTCAGCTATCATGTAATTAGTATATTAAGAATGTAAGAGGGAAAGTAGGTGTTGTTAGACTCTAATCTTGAACTGGTCTGATTGAACAAACAAACGAGAATTCATCTGGGAACAAGTAAAGCTTTTCCCAATTCACTAGAATGGAATTCCCAATGACACACAAATATATAAATTTACATTTCGGGTTGGAGGGCAAATTTCAAGATTCTTGTAATGGCCGCTTGCACACAGGTGGCAGTGATGATACCAGGAGAGTAATGAAGTGCTCTCCCTTTTTGAGGTCAGTGTGTGTTCGTGTGCCCCAAGTGACCCTGCAACACAGGAGTGCTTTTCCCTTTTGGGGTCATTGTCAAGCTCCTTCCCAGCATGTGACACCTTCGTTACACTCTCGGTAACATCGCTGCCACCAGTGTGGGCGTGGCCTTTACAAGAATCTTGAAATTTGCCCTCTAACCCCAAATGTAGTAACGTTGATACTTTTGTTTATGTCTTTGGGATTGGCATCATATTTCATTTTGAAAAGGTTTACGACTGGCCATGTTTTCCAGATGAATTTACTTTGTTGTTTTAATAATCAGATTGGTTCAAGATTGCAGACTAACTTAAAATCAACTAACTTCTCCCTTACATTCTTAATATATCAATAACACAATAGTTTTAATGAAACAGAAATTCAAATTGACAAATGAAGAAAGTAATTTAGCAGCGATAAGTGTATTCGGCATCACGACAGTCGTCACTTGTTTGTAAACATAACGGTCATTCGGTTGCGAGTTCTACTCCAAGCTGAAGCATGGTTGTGGCCACCTATTCACAGTGGGGAGTTTTGACTGGTGGCAGCGATAGTATAGAGTGCTCCGCGAACGGGCTATCGCTGTGAGGGGCTTGGGTCAGTGTGTGTTCGTGTGCCCCCAGTGATCCTGCACTACAGGAGTGCCCGCCCTTTATGGTGACATTGTGTGTTCGTGTCCCCCGCAGTTACCCTGCAACACAGGAGTGCTCTCCCCTTTCGCTGACAGTGTGTGTTCACAAGCAAAAGTACTTTCGACATATTGAACACTAGACAGGCTAGATTTTCGCAGACATCAAACACATTTTTTACAATTTCATTTTCAGGCTCAACTTATTACGAACAAATTCAACATTCCTTAAGTTAAAGAACAGGATGACAAATGAAATAGGACAGCTGATGGCAAGAAAAGAACATTTTAAAGAAAGGTAAGTCATACAGCCAATACTATGTCAAAATCAACAGCCAATACTATGTCAAAGTAACTGCATCTTTATGATTTTAATCTAATAATGGCAGTATTGCGATGATAATGTCAACTATTTATGGAAAAAATATATAAATCTATTTGTTGAAAAACAGCGTAACTTAAGTCGTTTGCCATCACATTGTGAGTAATTTGCTCGTAGATTAACATAAAATCGTGTCAGGAAGTACACTGTATGAAGCTTTTGATTAATATTTCAGTGAAATATATTCTGCAGTTTCTGATTTCTGTCAAATAACTGTTCAGTGAGGTATATGAAAATATGTGAACAGTATTCTGAATTTAAGTGACATGTGTACTTGGTACTACTGAAAATGGCATTGATGTCGCTCGCATTGGCAGATGGCGATAGAAACAAAAAACAAACTAACTTCACCAGGTTCATAGTGTCACTACTGACAAATTTATAAAATTATTGAAAATAAGTCCTAATTTTCTAAAATAGGCTAAAAAAATAATAATCTTGGTTCTCATGCACCGCTCAATTCATCATAAAATCTGCCGTACGATTTGTTTTTATTTTTTATTTAAAAAAAATAAATGAAAAAATCCTACTTAAAAACAGTGTGATCAAATATAGCATGCATATTTTCCCTGTACATGCGCACTGCTTTACTGCGCATCTCATGTTATGGTCATGGCGGCAATAGGAGTTTGTGTGCTTGTTTATGTATGGAGGCCCTTTCCCAGGCTGATGGTACACAACTGTTTATTTGGTTTCATACTAGTTTGAACAAGCAAAATCTATAAAAAAACACAATCCCCCCCGCACTATATTTTCAAAAGTCATTGCCTGAGAACCAATTCTTTTATATTTTTAAGCCTTGCTGATAGGGCATAAATGGGATAGGCACCTCAGAAGTCAACAGACATGATCCTACATATATTTTAGAACACCAATAGAGTGGTTACCTCTGTACACAAGTGTGTCCTTGCTAGTTATAGCCAAGTAATAAGGATCGTTCAAGTGTTCATGAAGTTAATGGTGTAATTTGTGAACTTTGTGTATGCATCTTGTAATGATATCTCCATACAAGAACAGAGCCTCAGATAAGCTTTTGGTTATTTGGTTATCCACAAATTTTAAAGGGTATTCAAATGTTTTTTTACTCACCTGTTTCTTGACATTTAGGTATTTAACTTAAAATCATTTAAAACTATGTGAATAGTAGTATACCCGTCCGCGTCTGCTTGTGGCTCCCTATCCGCCATTTTTTTGTTTACAAAACCTAGCATTGTAAGAAAGGAGATATTGTTTTAATTACCAATCAGCGACTAATTAAGATACAACATGTACATTGACTAGGCTCAATTGTGCATTTCAATTGCCATCTATCAGTATGTTTGTCGCAGAATCTTTTCCAAATGTCACTGTCGGTAAGTGAATTTGTCGATCGGCTGATACACAATCATTTTGTCTGACAGTTGTAATATACACAATCGTTTTATCTAATAGTTATCATATATGCATTAATTTTATTTCAACAGGGTATTTATAGTTTTTGTTTGATATGCTAGGATTCGATTTGTCTGCGGATTTCAGTTGATATAATGCGTATTTTACGCAAATATGCAGCTTATATCGAACTCTGCAAGAAGATGAAATCAACACCCTTTAACCGTTATGACACATGGAATATCATGAAAGCAGAACCATGATGCACGATGATGCATGATGATGCACGATGATGAATGACTGAAGTATGTTGCAACTGTAACTGTCATGTATTGACACAGGCTGTCTGTTGTTTCCTCCCCAGTTTGGTGTTTGACATGCAGCATTATAAGGACCAGGCGTCTAACGGTGGCATAAGTAAGTGGCTTGTTTGTTTGTTTGTTGTTTAACGCCGCACTCAGCAATATTCCAGCTATATGACGGCGGTCTGTAAATAATCAAGTCTGGACCAGACAATCCAGTGATTGATATCATGAGCATCGATCCACGAAGTTGGGATACAATGATGTGCATCAATTAAGTCGGCGAGCCTGACCACCCGATCCCGTTAGTCACCTCTTACGACAAGCATTGTTGCCTTTTACGGCAAGCATGGGTTGCTGAGGATCTACTCTACCCGGGATCTTCACCGGTGGCATAAGTAAGTACCCTGTAGTCATCCCACACACTCATCACGCACTGTGAGAATGTCTGATTGTGTTTGGATGGGATCTACAAAAGTCGCTACATGGGCAATCTTATAAAAATGAGAAGTTCCAAAGTTGATAGCAGTTATACAAACTGTACCTGTAGCTAGGCAGGATTCCCACGTCTTCTGCTCGCATCAACTGCCATTTCCCAATGCAGTTTTTTGGCAAGTGTCAATTTTTGCAAGTTTCATTGTTGTAAGACTCCTCTGAATGTAGGATTTATATTTAAAGCAAAAAGGATTAAAAAAATCTACTTCTTAAAACTAGCCATCGTTGAAGAGAATTTTGAAAGGCTTCATTATCATGGGCACAAGTAGGAATCAGTATGGGGCTGTTTCTGCTTCTGGAGGGGCGGTCGGGTAGCCTAGTGGTTAAAGCATTGGCTCATCACGCCGAAGACCCATGTTCGATTCCCGAGATGGGTACAATGTGTGAAGCCCATTTCTGGTGTCCCCCGCCTTGATATTGCTGGAATATTGCTAAAAGCAGCGTAAAACCATACTCACTCACTCACTTCTTCTGGAGCTTATCGTAAACCTGTCCAATAATGTTTTCATGAAGCTTTGCACAGATGGAAATACAGTGCATGTGAGCCTGATGTTGCCAAGCTGCCAACTGTTCCATCACATTTGTCTTACCATTCTTTAAAGTTTAGAAGTGATTTGTTGATAGTATTTGTCATTCCCTTGTCCTTTGTCCCTGAAAATCCTGTGTCCTCTGTTGGGATTCCAGGTACGAACAGATCCCCAGCAAGGTGTACTGGTCATAGGAGGCGACCTAATGGTCATGTGTGTCTTTATAGCATGTCACAGTACCCTGACAGTTTGGTCTGTGCTCATTATATCAATCACTGGTTTGTCTGGTCCAGGCCAGTCAGTGGTAGGGTTTGTGGTTTTCTGAAGTTAGTTTGTATGGCTGTTGATGTTATGTCATACTTTTATTGCTCTTTTTTCTTTTCAGCATCTGAAAAAATGTTCTCAAAATGGCTCAGAATGTCTGAAGAAATCGAAAGATTCTCAGAATTGGTAAGAAACTATAGATATTCCTTCATGCAGCTGCCATGGTTACTAGAGTTCCGTGATTAATCAGCAGACTGAGATTTTTCTGTGCAGTGTCAATCATCAGTCACGTAAACAGATGGAGCTGTAGACCTACAGACAGGTCAAAGTTTCTGGGGAGACAATAATCATAAGCTGATGGTCTAGTTTAGGGCTGCAGATTCTCTCTCTGTCCCTCTATGGAGAGGAATGTGCCGAGTCACGCTTGAATGTGCCGAGTCATGCTTGAATGTGCCGAGTCATGCTTGAATGTGCCAAGTCATGCTTGAATGTGCCGAGTCATGCTGGAATGTGTCGAGTCATGCTGGAATGTGCCGAGTCATGCTGGAATGTGCCGAGTCATGCTGGAATGTGCCGAGTCATGCTGGAATGTGCCGAAGCATGCTGGAATGTGCAGTCATGCTGGAATGTGCACTATCAGGGAGTGATTACTATTGTTGGGGAGAAATCAGCATAATCAGGTCACTTCCCAAGTCAAATACATCATGAGAAGCCCGTTCAGCACGTCCACCACTCATGACTAAGGTGTAAGTAAGGAACGTAGATGTATACTCCCGGTGCCCAGGTGTGAAGCCCATATTGGTGTCCCCCACTGTGATATTGCTGGAATATTGCGAAAAAGCGGTGTAAAACCATACTCACTCACTCACTCCTGGTGCCCTGTGACCTGCTTACAGCGAAGCAGACAAAGACTGAGCGAGTCAGAAGGGCTTTTACATGCTGTTTGCAATATTTCAGCAAAAGGGATGTTCCTCATGTGGGAAACCGAACTCCTATCTGCAGCATGACAGGCGAACGCTCTTTATAAGTATTTATAAGTCAGGAGTTATTGGATCAGACATGACACTGAAGTAGGGCCCCATTCCAAAACTACCTAACTGCCATACACAGATGCTAGCATGAAGATGACCGATCAGCTGTCCTGGAATTTTTTTCTGTGTTTTTGATTCCTTGCTCTGACTGACTGGTGATTGGATCATCCATAAGAATAAATATAGGGTCATATAGGAAACACGAGAAATTATAGGTCATATAGGAAACAGGAGTAATTATAGGTCATGTAGGAATACAAGTAATTATAGGTCATGTAGGAAACACGAGTAATTATAGGTCATATAGGAAACAGGAGTAATTATAGGTCATTTAGGAAACACAAATAATTATAGGTCATGTAGGAATTACGAGTGATTATAGGTCATGTAGGAACCACGAGTAATTATAGGTCACGTAGGAAACACAAGTAATTATAGGTCATATAGGAAACAGGAGTAATTATAGGTCATTTAGGAAACACAATTAATTATAGGTCATGTAGGAATTACGAGTGATTATAGGTCATGTAGGAACCACGAGTAATTATAGGTCACGTAGGAAACACAAGTAATTATAGGTCATGTAGGAAACAGGAGTAATTATAGGTCATATAGGAAACACGAGTAATTATAGGTCATGTAGGAATACAAGTAATTATAGGTCATGTAGGAAACAGGAGTAATTATAGGTCATGTAGGAAACACAAGTTATTATAGGCCATATAGGAAACAGGAGTTATTATAGGTCATTTAGGAAACACAAATAATTATAGGTCATGTAGGAATTACAAGTAATTATAGGTCATGTAGGAACCATGAGTAATTATAGGTCATATAGGAAACAGGAGTATTTATAGGTCATATATAGGAAACATGAGTAATTATAGGTCATATAGGGAACACGAGTAATTATAGGTCATAAAAGAAACACGAGTAATTATAGGTCATGTAGGAATACAAGTAATTATAGGTCATGTAGGAAACAGGAGTAATTATAGGTCATGTAGGAAACGAGTAATTATAGGTCATATAGGCAACAGGAGTAATTATAGGTCATTGGAAACAGGAGTAATTATAGGTCGTATAGGAAACACATGTAATTATAGGTCATGTAGGAAACAGGAGTAATTATAGGTCATATAGGAAACAGGAGTAATTATAGGTCATAGGAAACAGGAGTGATTATAGGTCGTATAGGAAACACATGTTATTATAGGTCATGTAGGAAACAGGAGTAATTATAGGTCATATAGGCAACAGGAGTAATTATAGGTCATTGGAAACAGGAGTAATTATAGGTCGTATAGGAAACACATGTAATTATAGGTCATGTAGGAAACAGGAGTAATTATAGGTCATATAGGCAACACATGTAATTATAGGTCATGTAGGAAACAGGAGTAATTATAGGTCATATAGGAAACAGGAGTAATTATAGGTCATATAGGAAACACAAGTAATTATAGGTTGTATAGGAAACACGAGTAATTATAGGTCATATAGGAAACAGGAGTAGTTATAGGTCATGGGAAACACGAGTAATTATAGGTCGTATGGGAAACACGAGTAATTATAGGTCGTATAGGAAACACGAGAAATTATAGGTCATATAGGAAACACGAGAAATTATAGGTCATATAGGAAACACAAGAAATTATAGGTCATGTAGGAAGAAGGACCGACACTTCAGCTTCTTGTGTTGTTTTGATGTGACTATTCGGTACAGGTACTTGTATCATCCACTAGCTTGATAACCGCACTCCAGCATGTAGCAAAGCCTCTCACTGAAAGAATACAAGTTGAAATCCATGCATCAGTCTTCACTGATATCACTGCTTCTTAATGCTAATAAGAGTACTAAGTGAGTCAGTGCGTTGGGTGTCATGCTGCTTTGGAAATATTACAGTTATATCATGGCGTGTTAGCTGAATGCAGTGAGCCTCAGGTGATGCCGGTGTTAGAAATGTACCACTGAAACACATGAGCAGGGGTATGGTGCTGACAAACCAAGTGACATCTTGGATGTCCAAATCTATGTTCATAGAATCCTGGCATGCATAAGGGAATTAACTCTGCACAGTGACTAATGGCGCTTTAGATGACTTTGCCACCCATGCCAGCTTAAAGGTTTTGAACAGGAACGATTACGTTTCAGTCCGAGTCCTACGTCAAATCTCACAGGTTATTATAACACTCTATTTGTACTCTTGCCTGGCGTGACGATATTGTTAATAGTTGTTTTGTATCTGCTCATCCACAGAAAGAGAGAGTGAACATCCTGGAACAGCAGGCTACAGCCCTACAGACGAAGATTGTCGAGCTGCAGCGCAGTCCATTTGCTAGAATAAAACAGAATGATGTCCTATGTGATTGGTAAGCCACAGTAAGCAGAACCCTCACGAGATGTGCCACCAGAACCCTAACTAGATGTGCCACCAGAACCCTAACTAGATGTGCCAGCAGAACCCTCACTAGATGCACCACCAGAACCCTAACTAGATGTGCCACCAGAACACTCACTAGATGCACCACCAGGACCCTAACTAGATGCACCACCAGAACCCTAACTAGATACGCCACCAGAACCCTAACTAGATGTGCCACCGGAACCCTCACTAGATGTGCTACCTGAACACTATCCTAGCTAGATACACCACCAGAACCCTAACTAGATGTGCCACCAGAACCCTCACTAGATGTGCTACCTGAACACTATCCTAACTAGATACACCACCAGAACCCTAACTAGATGTGCCACCAGAACCCTCACTAGATGTGCCACCTGAACACTACCCTAACTAGATGCACCACCAGAACCCTCACTAGATGTGCCACCAGAACACTTCCCTAATCAGATACGCCACCAGAACCCTAACTAGATGCACCACCTGAACACTACCCTAACTAGATACGCCACCAGAACCCTCACTTGATGTGCTACCTGAACACTACCCTAACTAGATACGCCACCAGAACCCTCACTAGATGCGCCACCAGAACCCTCACTAGATGCACCACCAGAACCCTCACTAGATGCGCAACCAGAACACTACCCTAACTAGATGCACCACCAGAATCCTCTCTAGATGTGCCACCAGAACCCTCACTAGATGTGCCACCAGAACCCTCACTAGATGTGCCACCAGAACCCTCACTAGATGCACCACCAGAATCCTCACTAGATGTGCCACCAGAACCCTCACTAGATGTGCCACCAGAACACTACCCTAACTAGATATGCCACCAGAACCCTCACTAGATGCACCATCAGAACACTACCCTAACTAGATGCACCACCAGAACCCTCACTAGATGCGCCACCAGAACACTACCCTAACTAGATAAGCCACCAGAACCCTCACTAGATGTGCCACCAGAACACTACCCTAACTAGATACTCCACCAGAACCCTCACTAGATGCGCCACCAGAACCCTCACTAGATACTAGGCCTGGGACGATACACCAACTGTGCGATCCGATCCATATCCCGATACCTTGTTCATGATCCGATATTTATCATGATACTTGTATGTGCTCTTATCTGTGATGTGTAAGCCATCTTTTTCATAGACAGGATAGTCAATACAAGGCACACTGACGATTTACAGTTGGCAGTGTCAAGTATGACGCAACAGATGAAAATATTTACTTTTTCGTAACTAATTTTCACTACTAATTAGTCTTTGGTGTAACAGCCATAAAGTAAACATTTAAGGTATGAGTCTATATTTTGTACTTAGTGTGTAACTAAGATCGATACTTGTATCGGGAAGTAAAATATCGCGATCCACCGATGCATCAGTGTATCGTCCCACTACTACTAGATACACCGCCAGAAACAACAGGCACCTAAAAGAAAGAACATCAAGGCTGCATATGAATGACAATATCTTCCTCTTCTCCAGACATAGGTTCAAATCAACCTCAAAAAGCATTTTCGTTTCTTTTGACTCTTGGCTGGAAACAATTGGTACAGAAAGAAATGATTTTGTGTGTTTTTAAAATGGATACAGCCTGTCAAGCAATTGTTGCATTGTAGTTAGCTTGACAATGAATGTCAAATTATTTCCTTTCAGTGAAGAGTCAGCCAAAAAATTATACCAAGAACTGATGCAGACACCAAAGGGTAAGGACATCACACCATCGTCTGTGTGACTTGTTCTCGATATTCTCTTCCTTGACCATCTGGACAACAAGGCAAGCTGTATGTTACACATTACGAAGTCAGTGGGACCCGTGAAGATTTGGGGTAGAATAGGTCTGCAGCAACCCATGCTTGCCGTAAAAGGCAACTATGCTTGTTGTAAGAGGCGACTAACGTGATTGGGTTGTCAGACTCGCTGACTTGGTTGATGCATGTCATCTATCCCAATTGTGTGGATCGATGCTCATGATTTACAACTGGATTGTCAGGTCCAGACTTGATTATTTACAGACCGCCGTCATATAGCTGTAATATTGCTGAGTGCTGTGTTAAACAACAAACCAACCAACCAACAAAATTACAATACTGTGACGTCAAGTTTAAGGAATATTGATAACTCCAATTTGACTTTTGATGTGAGCTATATACTACCTGTTACAGATGGGAATTAAGTAAGATTCCGTTTGATATATTACCCCGTATCTTTTACAATTTGACTAATAGTCACTCCTTCATATTGGAGGTAGACTGACTTACAGTGTCTTGTAGAGCACTTCCGATTCATGACAGTTAAACATGCTAAGTGATCACCAGCCCTCCCCAGAGACTTGCCTTTTATATATTCAAAGGATGGACTTTAAGAAGGATAGCATGTGATTGGTTTAAACATTGTGGAGACAACAGAGATAGTATTAACAGTGGTTACTAGTCTTTGTTATTGTGACGAGCCTCAGGGTTACAGGAGAGCATAGGTTCCATAAGTTGGTGTTTGCTTCAGAGAACCGCGGGAACTTGATGGACCACACGAAGATGGTGCAGCCTGTGGTCAAGTGTGTGCTGGTCAGGGACAAGTCCGTCGTGGATCTCTACACCTACCTGGGGTGAGACCTGACATCTTTTTCCCTCACAAGGAATATTCAGATATTGAGCCCAGGTCTTACGTGTAACACTTTCCTGGGTCTCGTTGTACAAAACAATACAACTGATAAGTCTATGTTAAGGTATGGGAGTTACAATCACCTTAAGGGGGCGGTCGGGTAGCCTAGTGGTTAAAGCATACGCTCATCACGCCGAAGACCCGGGTTCGATTCCCGACATGGGTACAATGTGTGAAGCCCATTTCTGGTGTCCCCCGCCGTGATATTGTGGCGTAAAACCATACACACTCACTCACACTACGATCACCTTTGCACTAGGATTGCTTTGTACAACGGCACCCTGGTCTTAAAGCCTACATCTGTCGTTCCCCATCTACAAATATTCAGATATTTAGCCCAAGTTTTCCTTTTAGCCTTGCTGATCATACAGGGAGCCATCTTTGATTTTAAGCAAAAGTGTTTTCATTCAGAAAATCTTGAATATCGCTGAAAGCGGCTGAAAAGCTATGTCACTCTGAGTCTTACACGTTTGTTTTGTGGCTGTCAGTAAAGTGTCGCAGTGTCGCTATGAGCTGCAGAAGATCATGCCGTCCCTGGAACAGTGCTGTGAGGAGATTGCAGCGGCCAGCCGACAGCTGATGACCAACCAGCAGAGCCGGCAGCAGGACATCTGGAACATGCTCAAAGTCGTGGTCAGTTGTACTTCCCATCTTCCCGAGGCAAGGGCGTCGACTACCCTTCCCACATCAAGCCCACTTTCTTGTGCTAAACGTGATTGGACTATCGCACATATTAATAGTCCAATCAGAGAATGTTTCACAAACGACTGGTACACCTTCGTATTTACCGCTTCCTGTCTTTGTTGGCACGAATAAGTCTTTTTCATCTTTTAAACCCCCCAACAATTGCCTATGGTACTTGTCATTTTTGTGAAGCTATTCGAGATAATAACAGCGATCTGGTTGGATATCGCGTTTTCATTACAAGGGGCAACAACTTGTGATCTACGCGAGATAGTGCCAGGGTCAAGACAAGAAAAGTGGCCTTCATGTGGCAAGGGTAGAAACTAGGTTTTGATATACCATATTAAGCGCCCTGCTCTAATAAGCGCCAACGGCGATATTTGCTAATATATTGGCTAGTGAACAATCTCAATTAGCACCCCTTCCAATTGATTTATGTACACAAGACTTATTTATTTGTGTATAAAACGCACTCGTTTGTTACATGCACCCTTAATTATGGGCAATTAAATCCTGGAAAAATATATCTGTCGTATATAAACATTTCAGGCTGTCAGCATAAACCACAATATTTACGACCTTTCAACTCAAATAATATTCTAATAAGAGCCCCCTATTTCTAATTTTGAGAGCGCCCTTGGCGCTTATTACGTCGAATACGGTAGGCTAGTGGACAGGCTTGCCTCGGAAGATGGAACTTCCAAGATTTCAAATTTTTTCTTACTGAAAACTCTTGTTTTTTATTTCAAATTCTCCCGTCATTGCAAGGATGCCAAAATATTATGATGATTACAAATGTGTTTTTTCAATGAGTTTCTTACATGATTATTGAATAGGTTTTCAGGAACCCATGCATGCCGTAAGAGGCGTCTAACAGGATCAGGTGGTCAGGCTCGCTGACTTGGTTGATGCATGTCATTGTATCCCAATTGTGTGGATCGATGCTCATGATGTCAATCACTGGATTGTCTGGTCCAGACTCGATTATTTACAGACCACCGTCATATAGCTAGAATATTGCTGAGTGGCATTAAACAACAAACAAACAAAACAAGACACCACCTATCCATGCACCATTGAAAAATATTCATTTTTTTGCTGAAGGCATGCAATATTATTTTTGAAGGATTTTTGGGGGGGAAAAGGTAATTTACTATGTGATAGTTAGAAATTCTTGCAATTATTTTCAATTGATAATCACATTTTGTGTCGAATGGACAATATCCATGCTGACGTGTTCACTTCACAGCGGGTCCACGATTGACTGGTTTCAGGTGAATCAAGGCAAGCAGTCTGGTACTCTTGTGCGGTCCAACTCACGTACCAGCTCTTCTGGACCATCAAGTCTGGCCAGCATGTTTGGCACTGCAGCTCCGATGTCCTTCCAGACGAGCGGGAACCAAGAATCTCTGCGGGTCATGGAGGAGTCCAAGGAGCGCTGCAAGAAGTGAGGGTTCTCTTTCCTTAACATTGTTGCATGGTGTACTTGCTGCAGGCAGTGTGGAGTCTTGTCTGGCTCAACTATGTAGTATGGGAATATTATCGTAGGAAGTTTGTTTGTTATCCCCCGCCCCAACAAAGTTGGTGGAGAATATTGAAATAGGTTCCGTTCATCCGTGCGTGTGTGCGTGCGTCCCGAAATCGTTTCCAAAGCATAACTCAGAAACCGTTAACTATTTCTCTACGAAACTTTGCATGTCTATCAGACTCATGCTGAACTGGTGTAGGTTCTATAATGGAGCGTAACTCAAAAACTGTTAAATACTTTCTTACAAAACTTTGCATGTCTACCAGGCACATACTAAACTGGGGCCTTTTGCTATTTAGGATTTTTAGAAATTTTGATTTTTTTATGTTTCCATGGCAACAAGTTGGACTAAGGTTCTATGAGGGTGGAGTTCGTTTCAGGAGCGTAACTCAAGACCCATTCAATACTTTCTAACAAAACTTTGCATGTTTACCAGACACATACTGAACTGGTGCCTTTTGCTATTTAGGAATGTTAGAAATGTTTATTTTTTTTACGTTTCCATTCCAAACAAGTTGGATTTAAGTTTTAAATAGGGTGGGTTCACTTATGGAGTATAACAAATAAACTATTAAATATTTCCTTGCCAAACATTGAATGGCTATATATAAAGCACATACTGAACTGGTGCCATTTGATATAAAGGAGTTTTAGAAATGTTTATTTTAGAATTTCATTTGCAGCTATTTTGACATGGGCTAAGAGAAATGTTTGGTCAGTTACCTGGTTTGGGACCATAACGTGTTAAAGTGGGTGGGGGATATAGATGACTTCGTCGACTATACATTTGTTAGTTTGTTTTTTGTTGTTTAACGCCGCACTCAGCAATATTCCAGCTATATGACGATGATCTGTAAATAATCGAGTCTGGATCAGACAATCCAGTGATTGACATCATGAGCATCGATCTACGCAATTTGGATACGATGACTTGCATCAACCAAGTCAGCGAGTCTGATCACCTGATCCCGTTAGTCACCTCTTACGACAAGCATAGTCGGCTTTTACGGCAAGCATGGGTTGCTGAAGACCTGTTCTACCCCGGATCTTCACGGGTTGAGTGACACTGATGAGTGACACTGATGAGGGCCACAGATGAGTAGGTGCATCTGCAGACTCACATGTGCCGGGAGGAGTGTGTTGGGTTCGTTCACAATCAGTTGAACCATCCTAGGCAGTTGCTTCTGCTTCCGGGGGCCGGGCGAGGAGTTTCCTTTCCGGAACAGAAATACAATCCATTCCTCGTCATTCTGAAATGTGAAGTCACTTACACAAATTAATTTAATAAGAGAATAAATTAGAGTACGCAATTGGGATACGATGACATGCATCAACCAAGTCAGCGAGTCTGATCACCCGATCCCTTTAGTCGCCTCTTACAACAAGCATAGTCACCTTTTACGGCAAGCATCGGTTGTTGAAGACCTGTTCTAACCCAGATCTTGACGGGTTTTATCGTAAAAAGAAATAGTGAATTCTACTTTGAAAATATATTGTTGGGAGAAATAGTGAATTGTAAGCTTTTCAATGATGTGGTCGATTTAACAGAAATTGTCAAAGTTTCAGTTCAACCATGCACAACTTTGACAGTTTCTGTCTTCATTTTCCATCCCGTCTCTGAGTTACAATGGAAACCACAAAGTAAATAACACTATGCAGATTGTCAGAAGAATTCGGGTTGCTTACATAATTCATATGTTTGGTTAGGCCATACATTTCTCTGTAACTTTATTATTTACGTGGGGCGGTCGGGTAGCCTAGTGGTTAAAGCGTTGGCTCGTCATGCCGAAGACCCGGGTTCGATACCCGACATGGGTACAATGTGTGAAGCCCATTTCTGGTGTCCCCCGCCGTGATATTGCTGGAATATTGCTAAAAGCGGCGTAAAACCATACTCACTCACTATTATTTACGTTGTATGGTTTTATTATGTTTTGTAATGATAGCTAAAAGTATATGGTTTCAATACCAACATTTGTTTTGGAACAGTTTGGTTGCTCATGAACAAAACAATACAACAATATAATGTTGTGATCCATGGAAATTCTCTCCAAGTGGGTTGAGTTGGAATGGCCCAGTTGTAAACATCGCAGAGTTATGTCCCTTCTCTGAGCATGTATGTACCGGTACAGTGATCCTTCGCTACAACGCTACCTTCAGGGACCAAATAATTGATGAGCGTTACAGACGACCAGCAGTTTAACCGAGGTGGAGTCGTAGGTGGTAGGTGACCACAAAACAGTATACATGCTCTGCCTACCTAACAAGATCTGCGTTGCCTTTTCAGAGTTTAAAAAAAGATTAGAATAGTAGTTGTTTATGATCCATAGTGGAAAAAAGATTTATCAAGTGTTATGTGCTTTAAAAAAAACACATTGCAATGATCAGCTTATAACATAATATAGAATGACCATCAATCATTATGAATACTGAAATGCCTAGTGTGAGGAAGGCCAAAAAGCTGCTCTCCAGATCTACTTCTTCACTTGGGGGTCTTCTTGGTATAGAACTCTCACCAGAGCTACAGATAATCAGTGTATTTGCGTAAAATACCCCCCAAAAATATTGAAAACCCAATTACTTTCAATTAATTTGCGTACAGAAACACATACATTTAATGAAAAACTCAAATTTCACTCACTCACTCACTCACTCACTCACTCACTCACTCACTCACTCACTCACTGGGTCGTATCATTGTGAGTAAAGGGGGGTGTGACAGTTAAAAAAATATTCCACTGACAACTGGGTGTCTGACAAGTGGAAGGACTTGAGACGTGACCTGTAATAGCTCTTTGATGATTGGTTGATCTGTATGTGTTGATCTGTTCCAGGATGGAGGAGATGATGCACAGTCTCCGGGAGGAACAGGAGGAGAATATGTCCCTCATGGAATCCTTCAACGATGTCATCGATATCGCTGATCCCACCAGCTAGGACTGCCAACGCTCATTCCAGCTTCACTCAAGGGACATTGTGCATTAGTGTGGTATGGAGTGAGTGATGTGGGAGGGACCTGTGTCCTTCCGGAAGCTGTGGAGGGATGTGTGTCCCCCTGGATGCTGTGGAGGGATGTGTGTCCCCCTGGATGTTTTGGAGGGATGTGTGTCCCCCTGGAAGCTGTGGAGGGATGTGTGTCCCCCACTAAGCTGTGGAGGGATGTGTGTCCCCCTGGAAGCTGTGGAGGGATGTGTATCCCCCTGGAAGCTGTGGAGGGACGATCAGGATTTTGTCATTCCAGAGATATGCCGATGATTTTTTTATTAAATTTTTTTTTTTTTCATCTGGAAGCCATATTGTCCCTAACATGCCTATGTGGCTAGAGATTACCAGGGCTTTGTTTGTTGTGTTAATAAGATCCTGGTTTTCAGGACGTCATGCTTCATCAACAACCATCTTTAGCTGCTCCATTGTTTTCACCTCAATGGCAACAAGTGTTAGTGAGAAGTGGTGGACAGACACCAGGTGTCATCGTCAGTGATACGAACACCATGTATGGTGGCAAGTGGTGAAATTAGATCACACTTTTTATGGCTGATGTAATTTATCAAATAATAATTAATGGACTGTACATATCCATCATTTAAACTCGTGGCCGAATCATGTTTATAATAACCACGCATCATCACACAAATATGCATAAATGACGTTTGAATGAGAATGAACCATGACTGTGATTGTGTGTTAGTGAGTTATTCCTCTGCCTTGTTCCTTGTTGTAGTGTCCTCACCAGTCTTTTGAGATTCTGTGAATGTGAATTTATTATGTTAATTGGTCTGTCTGTCAGAGGTTAGGAGTATGATCGGCAATAATGAGAGTCTGCTTTGTGTTCAGTCTCTGTGGTCCAGGGTAGAGTCTGCCCCCAGCTCCTCCTGCTGCAGACCGCCTCCGTGGTATAGTGGTAGAGCATCTGCTCGGAGAGCGGAAGGTCCGGGGTTTGATCCCCGGCCGCATCATACCAAAAGACGTTAAAAGATGGTACTTGTTGTTACCCTGTCTGGCGCTCGGCATTAAGGGGCTAAAACAAGGACTGGTCGGCTCGGAGTCAGTATACTGTGTCTGAGTGGGGTATTGATGTTAAACTGCGGCATGGTATCTCAGTGGGCTAGCACTATAAATCGGCATCAGTCCGGACTAGTACAAGCAGCCACACACACGCACATGCACACGCACAAGCACACACACACACACACACACACACACACACACACACACACACACACACACACACACACACACACACACACACACACACACACACACACACACACACGTGCATGCACGTCGCTATATAAGTGCAATAATCTTGGACGCAACGTTAAACCCAATTTCACCTCACCTCCTGCTGCAGGTCATACAAGGCGAATAAGTGGATCAGGATCATTCCTAAAGGGGACGATCGTAACGGCCATACTTTAACATCGACTTACGAAAGTCGTGGCGCTAAGATTGCTTTGTTGAACAGGCCCCAAGGGGTCGGCTCAGTGACTTTTTTCATATTGTGTTATACCTGAATGGCATGGGAGGCTGCTCATAATATCAATCATTGGTTTGTCTAGTCCGTACTTGCCTGTTTACATGCCATCATCATATAGCTAAGTGTTTGTGGATGGAAATTAACCAAGAATGTCTACTGGCCCAAATAGTGATAACAAAGCAATACCCCACAAAATGTTTGAAATTCTACTTGCCCTTTAAATACCATTGACAAAACTGGCCAGGTCTAGAGCTTAAAAAAACACATAGATCGTGATTTGTTAACAGAACTCCAATGTTTTCTTTTGATTTGAAATCTGATATTACACCTTTAAAAATGGAGTACCGGCATGTGTGTTTTGGTCTCAGGATTTTAACTACCACGGTGACTTCTCCTTATGTCGATAAACAGTCAAGTCCCGTTTATCCGACACTAATGATGGGAACCGATTAAATCAGTGCTATGTAGACCCGTTAATCCGACAGTCTCGCACTCCGACTGTACAAGTTACACAGAGGACCAGCTATTTATTAATAAACGTTTCTGATATTGTGTATTGAATGCAACCCTAGTTTGCTTTACAGATCATTTTGTTAATCTCAAATTGTTTTCAGTTTTTATAGCTATTGAAACGTGTATTATTGTTTATGCTGGACTTGATATGGTCTACATTCAACAGCTATTGTTCAGTTTGTAGTTATACTGTACAGGAAATGTTTTATCCGTACAGTTTTTGAATGTGCATAGTTTTTGTATCTAGTGATGAACTGTTGAATGTCTAAGCAATGAAATCATGCTAAAATCTTAAGAAAATGTGGTTCAGATAATGTTTAATTTCAAAATAAGGGAGGTAGGCCTTTTATACTTCACTTTTAAAACCTCTGCTTCTATTTGGGGAACTGTGGGCAAGCTCTGCAGGGTTTATCTGGACCTGCTCCGGCCTTGGCCCTGTTCCACAAAGCGATCGTAAACCTTTGTTAAAGTATGGGCATTACGATCACCTTAGTGCTAAGATTTCTTTTCACCGAGGCCAATTTTTGGCCCCAGGTCAGCAGCAAATGTCAATAAAAATTCCCAGTTTGAATAAAACAAATCCCAATTCTTTAAAATTTACAGAAATAAGAACAGTAAAAAATCCAATTTTGAACAATATCACAATTTTTTCAAATTTGCCTGCCAAGGCCAATCAGTTTGAAATGGTAGATAAACCCTGTTCGGTATGTATCTTCACGTTCATTCATGAACAGCGGGTACCACTAAATAAAATAGGAGGGGTTGGGTAATAGGAACCACAGGACTTGTTTTGGCGTAACATGGGTGAAATGGCAGTCTCTCCGTGTGGAGGTGTCGTGATCAGAGATTCATGTGTTGCCTTTGGTTATATTTCTTTAGTATTGTTAGTTTCAAAGAAACTTGTACATAAATCAGTCATGCAAAAAGTTACAAGCTGCAGAGGCCACATAATAGATTATCTATTATATGGTCTCTGCCAGCAGCTATTCCTCACCAAGTATGTACATATAACATGAATGAATATGAGTCTCACATCTGCAGGGAAACACCATATTCAATGTGAACACACAATGCCATTCAGAAAGTGGTCAAATGTAACAAATGTTATATTTGGGATAACGCTTACTTAGTAAAGTACAGATTCTACTTTTCTGGGTTGAGTGCCGTCAATGTATTTAGTAATCCTAGGGCCGACTGCTCTAGTTTATAAAAAGCAGGAATGGGTAAACAACCAATACATTGCTGGGCCACTGTTTCATGGCTCACCCCAGCTTTGAGTGAAACAAGCTACTTTATATGTTTCCCAGATTTTCACAGTGAAGGTGACAAGACTGATGTGAAATGAGGTACATTGACTCCCTTCCACCCAGACCTTGTTTGTAATTGTGGGGCGGTCAGGCAGCCTTGTGGTGAATGCGTTCGTTCGTCACGCTGAGGACCCAGGTTCGAATCCCGACATGGGTACAATGTATGAAGCCTATTTCTGGTGTTCCCCATCGTGATATTGCTGGAATATTTCTAAAACAATGCTCACTCACTCTCTGTTTGTAATTGTGATCCACCCAACATCTCCTGAGTGAGTTTGATTTTACGCCGCTTTTAGCAATATTCCAGCAATATCACAGCAGGGGACACCACACATTTTAGAAAGTGGTCAGATAGAACAAATGTTATATTTGGGATAACATATTCTTACTAAAATACAGATATAACATTGGTTACATTTGACCACTTTCTAAATGACATTGTGTATTCACAGCTTTCGGCAATGGGAGCCGTGCCAATTTTTACACTTGTCAGAGGGGTACACAAAGTATGTGATCTATACTACCAGTTGTCAGACTTTCATTTTTGTGGAAGCCTCAGTGGCTGAGTGGGTTAGATTCTGTGTACTGGCATTAGGTGCCTCACTCTGGCAGTGTGGGTTTGAATCCCGGATGGGACTCAACCCCAAAAAAGTAGGAGAATTCGTACTTTACTATGAAAGTGTTATCCCTAATATAACATTTGTACCATCTTAATAAATGAGAAGGCTCCCTAACCATATTATCATAATAAGGAATTGCTGGCATGATGGGCTACATATTGTTGTACGTACTGGCAACCATTGATTTGTCTTGCCCTGTCTACTTACAAGTTTCGGCTGTCACATGTTTATTCCCATCCTGTGTGTAAGGCAATCACTGAGTGATCTTTGGGGGCGCTGGTCCAAGATGTGACAATACAGTGTGCAGAGTTGTGTCCCTTGGCATGCTCAACGGTGTCAGCATTAAGTAATGGGTTTGAATCCCACGTTCTGTCTGATTGTGATCCGTAGTCTGTACCATACCTGTGCTTCCTTGTTCTCAAATTTGTAATGGTCAGCATACTTGGCGTCATGCCTGGATGCACAGTATTACTGTTAAACCCATCCATTTGGTCATCAGACCCTTGAAGATCCAGGGTAGAAAAGGTCTTCAGCAACCCATGCTTGCCGTAAAAGGCGGGATCGGGTGGTCAGGCTCGCTGACTTGGTTGATGCATGTCATTGTATCCCAATTGCGTGGATCGATGCTCATAACGTCAATCACTGGCTTGTCTGGTCCAGACTTGATTATTTACAGACCGCCATCATATAGCTAGAATATTGCTGAGTGTGGCGTTAAACAGCAAACAAACAAACAAACAAACATTTGGTCATCAGTATCCTGGATGGGGTTGCTGAGTGAGGGAGTGAGTGAGTAATGTTTTACACCACTTTTAGCAAGGTTCCAGCAATATCACGGCGGGGAACACTAGAAGTGGGTTCACACATTGTATCCATGTTGGGACTCGAACCCGGGTTTTCTGCGCAACGAGTGACCACTATAACAACTAGGCTACCCACCCACCCCTGGGGTTGCTGAATAATTGTCAATACTCTATAGTACTGTATACACTATAGTACTGTATACTCCATACTACTGTATACGCTATAGTACTGTATACTCCATACTACTGTATACACTATAGTACTGTATACACTCTAGTACTGTATACTCCATAGTACTGTATACACTATAGTACTGTATACACTATAGTACTGTATACTCTATAGTACTGTATACACTATAATACTGTATACTCCATAGTACTGTATACACTATAGTACTGTATACACTATAGTACTGTATACTCCATAGTTCTGTATACACTATAGTACTGTATACTCCATAGCACTGTATACACTATAGTACTGTATACACTATAGTACTGTATACTCCATAATACTGTATACACTATAGTACTGTATACACTATGTCCTTCCATTAGGAAGGTAATGTAAAGACTAAAGACGATGATGCTAAAATTGTTGAATATGTTTCTATCTGTGCGACAATTTGCAACTATTCAGTCCCATGCTTTGTACAATATGTTATTTATTAATCTGTGTATATAGCTTTGTTTGATGTATATATATATACATTGTGAATAGAGAGCTGTGACGGCATTTGCACATGATGTATGATGTGAATGTTAATGATAAAAAATAGGATCAGCTCCTTGTCTCCCAGACCAGCAGAATAGTGAGAGAATTAGCTTTGAACAGATCATCATGGCCACATCTATTGTATTTCATGGTACATGTTGAAGGCTATGTGCATCGCTGTATAACTGCAATAATCATAAATGCGATGTTAATCAATATTTTACCTAAGGCTTAAAAAAATAAAAGAATTGGTTCTCAGGTATGCAGACGGGTGGTGTTTCTTATGCTTTTTCAAACAAGTATGTAACCAAATAAACAGTTGTGTACCATCAACCTGGGAAAGGGCCTCCCTACATAAACAAGCAAACAAATTCCTATTGCTGCAATGACCATATTAGGCACAAGATGTGCAGTAGAGGAGTAAGGGGAACTAACTGTGTGCTATATTGGATCGCATTGTTATTAAGTATTAGGAAAATAATTTAAATTTTGAAAATGGAAATAAAAACGAAATGTGTGGCAGATTTTATGATGATGCGGTTGGTGCCTGAGAACCAAGACT